ACGCTGTTCGGCGTCCGACGATTGAATAAAGGCTGCCTCGAGACCGGAATGAACAGCTGCACGGAAATTATCGAGCTATGACAGGGAGGAGGCACCACCTATGTGCACAGAGTCAGGAAGGAGCGGAATTCATGGATACTTTGGTCCAGTGTTACTAGTGACCACAAACGCTCCCGACTCCACTCATCGATCATAGTGCTGGGGTGTCCCAAGTACTATGTACGTTGAGTGATCGGGCACGAGGTAACCGCGGCATATGGGAGATGATATAGATATACTTGCCTTTGAGGCTTATATTGAAGGTACTCGGAGACGCATTGCCTCTGTAGTCGAAAAAAGAGCAACTCGACGTGGAAGCGTGTTTAGAATCATAGAAATCCGAGGTAGATATATCAGGCCACTAGAGATCTGCGATTCGTGTTTGATAACGCGAATAGTGTGAACGTTGACCAAGCACGGTTCTCCTCGGTACAGAGCACCTTGACTCGGAATAGGTTAATGATATGTAGTAATGATAATTTGTACAAACCTGGTAAGAGCAGATGCAGATAGGAAGATTTTGTCGGGTTGCGTGCAGGGAGTGCTCTTGAGTTTTATACACTGTGAAGCCGACTCGCTGGGTTACTAGCAACATCGAATGGTCAAGAAGTGCCAGTGGATTGCGAGAAGAGATTCGTCGCCTCTTGCCACTGGCCAGTGATTGAGGTTTTGGTATCTCTGCAGGTCCGGCAGCCTCAAAATACGACTGTTCCGAGTTTATATTTACTACCTTGTTCGATGTGCAGCTGGCATATTAGTCGAGAAGTCTAAAAAGGAACCACTCTCGTGAAGAAGAGACACAGAAGATACCCAAGAGATTCCGACAAAAACAGGTCGGAGCGGAAGCAATAAGTCATAACCAAACACGCTTACCACAGGTCCCTCTCGACAGTGTCGTCCACGACGACCAGCACCCTTTCCACGACTTCCACATTCGTAACTCTATGAGTAGCCGACAGTCACGCAGTACTCCATCTTCGTCCTCTTCCTCGTCCCCACATGGCTCAAAGCTGTCCAAATTCCTAGCGAAGCAGAGCCGGGATAGGTCAAAATCCATGACAGATCCAATCGTAGCTGCTAGCACCGCGTCCATCGCCAGCTCAAGTTCATCCAACTGTACGTCTATCAGTAGCCCGCCACTTTCACAGTACAGCTCGCGAAAGAGCGGGAGATTTGGTGGTGGGAACGCTAGCAACAATCTTAGAGACGACAAGCCAAATAGCCCGCAGCCTGACCCTGATAGTGAACAGGAGGACTCATTTGATGAAACACCTGTTATTATTGAACCTGTTGATATTATACGCTCACGGAATCGTTCAGAACGCCCTCTCAGTACCATTGGTGACATACCTCCCTCTTCCATGTACGCTTCAACATCATCCACACGTATATCGGATCTCCCTACACGACTATCCGGATGGCTATCACATACTTTTACCAACTCATCAACAGACTTATCACTTCCGTCAATACTCTCGCAGTCCAATTTTACCTCCCAGGCATCCCCTAAGACCAAGAGCTCAGCCTTACTCACCGCCGCGAAGCACGGCAAAGGACATCTCGATCGCGCAATGCGCTTTTTGTTGGATAGTGACTCTATCCCTAATAAATCTCCAGAGCCTATATGGCTCCTTGGTGTACAACATTCAGGATATGAACCTCCACCTCATCCTACCCCCAGTCGCCGCCCTTCTATCGAGTCTCGCCGCTCTCCATCGTTCCGTTCTACCACATCATCCTCAGCCACAGTTTTACCTGACCCCTCTCTGTCACTCTCATCATCCTCTTCCAAAAACCCTGCCAACAATTGGCCACCTGTTTTCTACGCAGATTTTACGTCACGAATATGGCTAACATACCGTAATCAGTTCGCCCCCATACGCGACTCCACACTATCGGCTCTAGAGTCGGATATAGCTTGCTGCGAGCCACAGCCTGTATCTTCGAGTCCGCGCCCTAAGAAGTGGCATTGGCCGGGCGGGGGTGAGAAGGGCTGGACGAGTGATGCGGGGTGGGGTTGTATGCTCCGGACAGGTCAATCACTATTAGCAAACACTCTATTGCATTTGCACTTAGGTCGAGGTGATCTTTCCCCTGATAGCTCAAGAAACTCGTCTTGATTGCTCATTATTCAGAATGGCGCCGTCCTCCACACCCAGTACACACAAATGATTACGCCACATATGTCCAGATCATTACGTGGTTCCTTGACTCGCCTCTCCCTCAAGCACCCTTCAGTGTACACCGCATGGCCCTTGCTGGAAAGGAGTTGGGCAAAGATGTTGGGCAATGGTTCGGGCCTAGTACTGCTGCAGGCGCCATAAAGTATTCATTTTCCTCATATTCTACTTCTAATCAATCCATTAATCTGTGCACGCAGAACGCTTGTACATGCCTTCCCAGAAGCTGGTCTTGGTGTCTCCGTTGCGACTGATGGTGTTATTTATCAGTCTGACGTGTACGCCGCATCAAACGTGCATATTGGTTCACCACGACGACATATGAAAGCCACCTGGGGCGAACGCGCAGTCCTTGTACTTATCGGTATCCGTCTGGGTATTGACGGTGTTAATCCTATCTACTATGAGACTATCAAGGTCAGAGCACTCGCTTGAGATATCAGCAAACATCTGACGTTTATCTAAGGCGCTCTTTACCTTTCCGCAAAGCGTGGGCATCGCCGGCGGGCGCCCCTCTTCCTCGTACTATTTTATGGGTTCGCAAGCTGACAATCTCTTCTATCTCGATCCACATCACGCTCGAACCGCCGTACCCCTCCGCCCAGCACCCCCGCATGACTTCAAACGCGAGATGACCCCAGATTCGGGCCGCCAGCGCACCTCCCACCACCGCGCGCCTACTTCACCTTCAAGCGTGCGCACGGGAAGCTCAACATTCTCATATCATGCACCACTTTCACCTTCACCGCTGCAGCATCAACTTAGCGCAAGCTCGAACACATCAGGTTCATCTAACTCTCCTCCGCCACGCTGGCCGAACCCGAGCTTGTCAATACCACTTGGAGGGTCAGAGCTCGACCCACGAGAACCAAGTACGGAGAACACCGAACTGGATCCAGTCGCAGAGCACTACGTGACACAGTACTCCGCTTCTGAGCTGCGGACGTTCCATTGCGACCGCGTGCGGAAGATTCCCCTCAGTGGACTCGACCCAAGTATGTTGCTTGGGTTCCTTTGCAAGGACGAGACGGACTGGATGGATCTCAGGAAACGTGTGAATGAGGTGGGCATCTTTTTGATACCGACGAGTGTTTTCAGTGTTGATTTTTCCCCTCGTGGGGTGCGTTGGTAGTTGATGCACAAGCACAAGCCAATATTCACGATCCAGGACGAGCCACCCTCGTGGCCATCTGATTCGGACGAATTCATGGGGCTCGAATCCATCTCGGAGCCAGATATCGATATGGAATTTGATGGAGATGGTGTGGAACGTGACGATCAAGAACAGCCCGAGAACGAAGACCAGTTCTTTGATACTCGTTCTGCATCTCAGTCATCTGTTCCAAAGGGTCAGGGCTCAGAAATTGACACGGAGGAGGATCCAATAGGGCCAATCACACCTGGCCCCAATTCTATGCTTGAGGCAGACACACCAGACAAGGCAAGGGAGCCTATGGATGATTTTGAGGAGATTAGTGCTGAGGACGAGGATGATGACGAGGACTGGGTAGATCCGTCGCTACCCACGCCTCTGGCGCTGTCCGTACAGCGCCCGTTTGCGCCTCCTCTTGGGAAAGCGATATCGACGAGCTCCACAAGCAGCAGTGGAAGTGCGGGGAAGGGGAGTAGCAAGAAGACAGCTGGGAGGAAGCAGAAGACGTTGGTGCCGCCAATACAGGCGCCGGTGAAGGCCGATGTACATTTTCCGTTTCCGCGGTCGCTGGAGGAGAGCGTGCATGATGGGGGGCATGGGTCAGAGGCAGAGCCATATGAGAGGCGGATGAACAATGCACGTGCGAGAGACGGGGGGCGCACCGAGAGCGGGGGCGTCAAAGCCGTTTTGACGGAGGATATGAGATAGCCCAGGGTTCGTTGGTTGTAGAGTGGTGTTAGGGTATGTTTTTTATTAGTGCCTGGGCATTTCATTTCGACTTGCGGCTGCCTGTGCTATGGTGGACCCTTTCGGGCCTGTAACTATGTATGTACTTTTGCCTGGTTGTTCGTAGAGATACCCGTCACGTTGGCATTGGCTCGATGTTATCCATCTCCCTCTCCTGTCTTGGGCTTTCCAATGTTTCACCAACAACTTTTCACTATGATAATTTATTCGAGCTATGTTCATTCGTAACAAATGAAACCTGTCAAGAAAAACATTCAATATTCAGGAAGAGAGATGCAGAGAACAAGAAAACGAGTTGAGTAGCGCCAGAAATAGGATATCTACTGTATAAATGACAAACCCTATAAGTGGTCGCCAAATGAAATTTAAATTCGACACACCTGTTGAAAAAACAGATGTACTTAGTACGTAGGCGTTATAGGCCTCTCTCAGGAAATTGAGGATATTATGTACTTGCACAGTTTTCTCGATGAATTCATGAATGCGTCCCGTAGAACTCAGTGAAAGCACGAGACGCTGCCATAAGTGACATGGACAGGTTTTCACCTTCGATTTCCTTTATAGTATGTCGTCATTGGTGTACTCGTGGTGGCAATTAAACATTGTTAGGTGTGCATTACACCACAATCACAGACACCATACGGTTGGAACCGAGACTCACGTCATTGGCTTCACAAAGAATCTAGTCCGTAGTACAAAGGTTGGTTGGTATGTATTTAGTATCAGGGGCCAGGACTGCCATCCTTTATCACTTAGCATGAATGAAGGTTGCTAATCTGACGGTCTCTTCGGAAGCTGTATATGATGAAGTTGATATGCAAGCTGGGCAGTCTGTTTGTAACACTTGGGAAACGAGAAGATGAGTGCACTGTACATGTACCTTACAAAGAAGGCTTGGAACTGATGCAGTTGTCATCCTTCCACCGTATCTCCTGAGTAAGTACGGCTAGAAGGATGAGCTCCGTGGAATATATAGTATATCCTTCCTCGACCAATGGTCTCCAGATCGATTGGTCTGCTGGACAAGAGATAACGTGACGGTTTCTGTTCGCCTTGAGTATTCGAGTCGTTGGCTTGGACGTCTGAACCTGATTATGCCCGCAGCGTCATGATGCGTTGCACTCGATGCAAGTGTCAATATAACTTACCTGGCCACCGGCAGATGCTATGACAGCTTTGAGCAACTTCAAGTCAATCTCGACTTTAGGGGTCACATAAAATGTCATCCCTTTCAGCAAGCCCTCCCCTCCGTCTTCACGTTTAGCGCGCTCGAGAGAAGCGGAGAGCTTAAAATTCCATTTCCGTTCCGATTCGGGGTCAGATATCAAAAAGTCCGTTTCCGCTGTAGTGGTCAATCAGACAGCACCGATTTCCAGGATTAGTTACTCACGCAAAAGTTTGCCACTTCGCACGCTCGAATTGACCCATCCTTCTGTTAACACGAACGGGGAGCTTGCGATGGCGCACAAGAACTTCTCCGTACGGACAATTCCCTTTGCGATAAGGTGCGTGCAGTCGTTGGGTTTGGTTGTCATCTTTGCCCCTAATTTATTCAACCTCTATTGTATGTTTATCGGTTAGTTGATATTTCATTACAGGGAACTTTCTTACCTTGATAGTGTCATCGGTCAGCTGAATACCTGTTGTCATCACCCTCACTGCTCCAGATTCCCGAGAGGGTCCAGAACTATAGTATGATTCGATGAGTTAAGATGACGGGCGGAAACAAATTACGCACAGGTGATTGGTGGCAGCATCGGGGACATGCGATCCCTTTTTATTCTGAGTCGCCTTGCCTCCCTTTTTCTTGGACGGCTCGTCTTCGTCAACACTCATCCCGTCTTCCGCTCTTCGCTTTGTACCCTTGCCCGTCTTCGACATCGACTTCGTTTGAGGACTAGATGAAGAAATGATGTCCCCAACCTCTACTTCATTGTCCGTGTCCTCTGCGCGAGCCTTCTCCACTTTACGCTTCTTCATGTCTCGTTCCTCCTCGACTTCCTCTTTGTCACGCAGGGAAATGAAAGAGTCATTGAGACCGGAGCTATGCCTTCGCTTGGCGTTCTTGCGCTCCTTCTCGAAACTAACCACGTCGGGCATAATTTCATCTCTCAGTTTGCTTGTCGCTTTGTTGGCAGCACTGCGCTTTGGTAATCCGCGTGAGGAATAAGTATCCAAAACCACAGAAACCTCATCCTCGTGTTCTGATTCTGACTGATTCCGCGCTTTGGATTTCGACTTGTTCTTCATAGGAGGTGTTGAGGTTGAAGGTTTCGATAGAGAAGGGCGTCCACGTTTGGATCCACTTGTTGATGCCTCGGCAGCAGACGCATGAATGGAATTCGTTCTAGTAAGTTCGGACCTTCCTTCCTTGTTCGTGGAGGTGTCCTTGCGCGAGCTTGGAGACAAGTAATCTTTCGGTAGAGATGGAACAAGCACGGATACTGTACGTTTCGGCGTCCTGAGGATTTTTACAGGAGGCGAGGGTGAGCGGGTAGTAGACAGACTTGGAGATCGAGCGCGACCGTTCTGTTTCTCCTTGGCGGCTTTTGAGGGCGTAGTCGGCGGCTCTTTCTCCGGCTCTTTGGTTCTTACTTTGGCACTGGATGCAGCAGACTGATGCTTCACAGGCCGCACAAAAATTTCATCGTCATCAGACAAGGATGAGGCGCGTTGAGGAGTTTCCTTCGGCTTAGGCTTTGGTTTCATTCCTGTCTGTACTGGCGTCGAGGACCCGGGGATTACCCTGCTTGCACGGGTTGACGCAGACTCGGAGTTAGAGTGCTCGCGAGAAGGGGGCAGATGACCAGCTTTGTGAGGTTTGGTCTTCTCCTTTGATGTGGGCAGTTTGCTAGACTTCCCAACGGCTTTGGTCTCAGCCTTAGTGAGAGCTGCGTCATCCGCAGAGCTCTCCTCGTCGATCTCCCTGGAATTCTTTACACCATCTGTCACTCCCCCTTCGTACACCTCAACATCATCAGATGCGGTGTTTTCTCGTGTGGTCCTCGAACGTTTGCGTGGTCCCGGTTTCGTAGGTCTTGAGTTACCATCATCAATATTTGTCATACCATCGAGAGTTACTTGCTGAGATGACGATTTCTTATTCTCCGAGGATTTCGGCTTTGGCTTCGACCTCTGCTGTCTCAGCGCCTTTGAAGGGGAAACATGTTCATCGTCGACATCTATGACTACGCTAGCCGCTATGTCGCCAGCACCGTCAAAGCTGAGGTCGCCATTATCGTTTCTAACGTCTCTCGCGCTCATATCTGTAGCTTGGGAAGCAGTGAGAGCATTACGCTTTGGCTTTGACGCTACAGGCTGGGGTGTTTTCGAAGGCGAGCTACCCCCATCATCGATGTCCTTTGGCTTCGACTTGCTGGATGTGGTCATAGCTTTGGCATTTGATCTGGGAGTCTCTCTGGATGAGGTAATGGGCCCCACTTCATCGACCATTCCCCTACGGTACTCTGCATCCCTCTGTTCCTCAGAGTCAATATCAATGGGACCGACTCCCCGGCCGCCTGGAACGGGTCCCCCTGAGGTGTTATAAACAGAGCTCGCACTTGTGCCACCTATTCGAAATGGCACATCACATATAATAAGCACTTGAAGATAGAAAAGGCGGTCCAAACTCACCAATTGGGGTCATGAGCATCTTCCCAAAATCGACGCCGGGGGGATAGAGAATGTATTTATCAACTCCAACAGTAAGATTCCTGAGCGCAGATAATCAGCTTACAGATTCAGAACAAACAAAGACACGATGGCTTGAAAGCGGTCGCTCAGAGGTACCCACTTCCATGCGATGAAACAATCCTCGAGCCAAGTATGATTGACTATTGGTATCGACCATGCAACTGCGCGCTGTGTTTTAGGCGAAGGAGAACTATGAGCTATCAGTATGGCTAGTAGTTTTCTTTCTCGAAACACTTACTAGCCAGCAACCAGAACCTTGTTGCTTTGGCTCATACTTGGCGTGAACCTTGCGCCCATGACTTGAATAAGTTTCTTCAGATAATCTCGCGCGGCGCCAGTATAGTTAGTGACGGTGATTTCCTGAGCGGTGCGTGAAAAAAGGATCACAGGGCACATGACGGATTCTGCTCACGCATTCGTTGAGACCAGGAATACCTCCTCTTGGAACTGGGTACCACAGCAAACTCTCATGCGGATCATTCAACATGCCAGATGCATCGACGTGAAACATCCAAGTCAAATTTCCGATCAAAATCGGACGAGGTGAACGAGCTGCCTATAATATAGTCGTTGTAAGATGTTCCGCCGACGTCGTCGAGTAAACAAGGGATATACCTTGAAGTATGCCTTCCCGGAGCGGTACCGCGTGACGAAAACATCACATTCATCCACAAGTGTTGCTTCCTCGTTCTCTTGTGCCTCCTCGTCTGTGCTGGTACCTTGGGCATGTGATGTAAGGTCAGGGAGATGTCACAACGAGGACAGAATTATGTTACCTTTGACCTTGACAACAGTTCCACCCGCTCTCTGTATATTCGCCTCCACAGCTTCACGATGTCCTTGTCCCAATTCCAACGAGCGAGACAATAACAATCTCCTTCCTGCCCACACATTGACTCCTTCTCTGCGCTCTGCTTCATCCATGGCCATAGGGCTGCTCAGTCTTGTCTCACTACTCTTTTTTCTCTTTTTTTTCCCACTTTCTCCAATTTCTACATCATCCTCGTCCATTGCGACCTGCATGCCAGGTTGCAAGACCTTCGGATCAGGCCATAAGTAAGGCCCTTCGGGTACACGACGCCCAACGCGAACTGAGTCATCGAACCAATGCGGTGTGAGGACAGACATGTGGGTGTGTGGCGCAAAATGCATGGCAGTTTGGTACTACACGGTTACGGGTAACAAAGTGAGTAATTGACCCATTGTACGCGAGTAAAGCTAAGATAGAAAGTACCTTGTCACTCTGTTCATGTAATGCGAAAAGATGTGTTACATCCCGCGTGAGGCCCGTTCGCCATTGGCCTCCTAACGAGGTGATCCCTGCTGAGAGAACTTCGAGGTCCGATGGGGAGAGCTTGCGTATGGAGTTTGTATCATGTAAAGTGAGGTAATAAATATTTGCTCACATCGGTGGCACACGCAACGATGCCCGAAAAAATCATTGTTGGATCAGGTGAATAGTACTGCTCGCTGACAACGACTATCAATCGCCTTCATACTGATCTAAGATGCAAAGGATGCTCACAGCTGAAGTTTTCCAAGAACTATACTCCGCTGTACCCACATTCCCGATACTATATGCAAAGATCCCGCGTGTTCGTGCTGAGTGTGCGATCCAGCAAGGGCAATAAGGTGGGTGTGTGGTGGTGCGCTCGTTGCGCCATTGAGGTCCAGCAAGCCCGAAAGCTCCTTACGCTGTGCCGCCGGTATTGAAGACGAAAGAATATAGTGCACACCATCGAAGACAGCCATACTGCTCAAGCATCAAGCTTAAGGTGCTCGACAACAAGACGTGAGAGGAGGCGTGACGTGACAGTGTACAACGCGTGCCATCACGTCGCGTGTCGGCACCACGTGCCTCAGAACGTTCAACGGCCAACACCTAAGACCTGTCCCATTTCACTTACTTTAGTAGGGGAGCTCACAGTAGGTCGCTTTCACGTTCGCTTTCATAATAAATCGTTCACATATACAGTGAAATAAATAGAAACTAAATAGAATATAAAATTCAGATAGTAGCGAGCTTGTTGTATGGCTAGTAGTGATGTTCCGGCCCGGCTTGGGCTCAAAGCCCCGGCTTAGGCTCGGCCTGGAGGGGCTTAGGCTCGCCAGATTTCAAGCCTGAGCCGTGAGCCCAAGCCAGCCCAAAGCCGCGGCTTGGGCCCAACCAGGCCGCGGCCCACATGCTAAATTTTTGTGAGATGCATGAAAATAGTTATAAATGTAAAAATCGAAAATTTATACCACTGGTACAGACGCCTTTTCAAGGGATTTTCAACTTCGTACGATATCGCACAATAGCAACACAGAGATGGATTTCGTGGGGATGGAGCTGACAAAACACAGAGATGAACGAAGCCCTCCGCGTGTGGCAAGACTGCAGAGGTGCATGGATACTGAAAACAATCCACGCCGCAGGCAATGTTTACACTGAGGTAAATATCAACGACTCGTAGTGTCTCTTCGCGTTCTCACTTTCGACAACACTGTGCACAATCGACCGTGAGCGAAGGGACTAGCGCAGAGTGCAATGAGATACCGTGTACGAAGCTTATGGACTCAGTGCATATCGTGACGATTAAGTTGAGTGTCAGGCAGTTCAACTCCTGATCACGAAGCTGTCCTCAGAATGCAGAAAAACAACTTGAATAACACACCTTTTCGTGATCAGCAGCCTCAAATTTCCTCGTCCATCCGCATTGCAGTAGCAAGTGCCAAGCCGCGGCTTGAGCCGCCAGCTTAGGCTTTCCAAAATTGAAGCCTAGGCCCAGGCCTTGGGCAGGCCATGACCTGGGCCTGGGCTTGGCTCGGCTTATTCAGGCCTGGCTTTGGCTGGCCCGGGGCTTGAAGCCGGGCCGGAACATCACTAATGGCTAGTATGTCTATATTAAGTTCTTGTGCAAGGTCTTCGAGTGTCTGTGTGGGTTGAAAGAGTGCTCGAATGATCATGAAAAAGATATATGACTCGAAGTATTGCTGATATAGCGAGCCACGAGTCCAATCCACATCTTACGGTTCTTGAATGTTGGGCATGGCGCAAGCGCTTGCCAATATCCTGCAAGACATGAAGATTTAGTTTGTATTCAGCATTCATGAACGCGGAACTGGGACAGACTTTTCTTGCCAACCCTGGAACTGCGGAAATCACGAGATAAAAATAAAGCAAGCAAGACTCACTTGATTAATGCCTCTGTTTTGACTCCAGGATGCACTCGCTGAGCGATGGAGGTCATCATCGAGGCCCCAGGAGTAGAATGCTGACTGATGCAGTTTCCAGTTATTGAAATCATGTGAGGGTCTTCCTATAGACTTCTTCGGCTACAACATTACATTTCAGGGGCATGCATGGACTCGTCAGGGTGCCACATGAGGGCTAAGGGAATACTAGATCCTGCAAATTGCTAGAGGTCAGATGCAGGTATCCTGCACCTAGTAGGCTGGAGCTCAAGGTCAGAGGCAGACTGCTCAGACTGCTAATCTACGACATGGATGGTTTTGACGCCAGACACAGATCCTTACTTCAGTTGAAGTATTCCCGGAAAGGTCAACGATGACCTTGATTTTGTCTGTGCAACTTGATGTATTCTATGGATGTAAGGTTGAGTTCACTCGTGATTGAGGTGAGCGTACGATTATCATTGTTTGATGTCTGACCTTGTCCTTCGCTTGCACTGTACGCACGGAACACGTCATTTGGGTCGAAAGGAATGTTTTCATGTTTCAAGTCGGTTCCAACTTGAAAATGTTCCTTGAGTTGTACCACATTCCTAGTAAGGACACATTGAACTTTAATTTCAACTTCCACGATCATACGAATCCTTCGGCTCGTCAATTGCATCATGCATGTACAAGAGTCACAAAACCCTTGAAAAGCTCGTTGGCCGCAAATTTACCTCTATATAGTACTACAACTCCAAAGTTGTCGTTGAGTTTGTTACAATTTTGACCTAGTCAAATAACGAGATAGGTATATGTGGTGATTCTGATAGACTAACTTCAAATATCTTGGCTTCATGCACATGCAGCTGCCTCATGGTACACAGCTATGATATCAATATTAATATTGCCCACTGCCCACTGATCCTAGATAGGCTGGCTTCGGGTTGGGTAAGTATTTACCGGGTTCACACACTGCGGCAGTCTGCAATCGATTATAAGGCTACACCAACGCTTCTCTGTGAGTCACATTCAAGTTCACCTTCCCCCATGGATACTTCAAGGATAAGAAAGAAAATCAGTCGCTTTTGAATCCTCATTGTAGGAAGAGGGAATGCAGGGAAAACTACCATCCTACAGCGAGTTTGCAACACACAGGACGACCCAGAAATCCACAACAGTGCCAGGCAAAAGGTGGGCCCATCACATTGCTACTAAGTAGGAAGATGGCACTGACACATCGACAACAGATCGAACTAGTCTTAAAGGGATCTAGAGAGGTGAGTTGTATTCTCAGTGGACGACACGAACTGATGTACTCTCAGCGCGGACTGCATGATATTGAAAACGAAATCGTGTTTCGAAGCAATCCGAGCTTTGTTTTTCATGATTCATGCGGGTTTGAGTCAGGCAGCAAAGACGAATTTGAGAAGGTCAAGGCATTCATCACTGACCATTCCAAGAAAACGAAAATAACAAATCAACTTCATGCTATATGGTAATTGTAACTGATCAATTGTGACATGGGCTATCTCATGGTTTCAACATAGGTATTGCATCCCAATGGATGAAGCACACAGGTCGTTCACTGCAGGTGAAAACAAATTCTTCTCTGAGTGCGACACAGGAAGCAGTAAGCTTTTGCATCCCTCCCTTGTCGACATTAGACTGATGCGCAGAATCACGATGCTCAGTTCCAGTGATCATAGTGTACACCAAGTTCGATGCCCTCTACGATGTAGCATACGTACAACTGAAAAAGGAAGGAAAATCTTGGAAAGACACTCAAGAACTGGCTCCAAAACACACTGAAGAAACATTTCCAGATGGACCACAATTGAAGTTTCTCAAGGGCGTCAAATGGCCTCCAAAAGGTCATGTATGCCTTCCTAGTAAGTCAGTTTATGGACGAGTTGCGATACATGACGACCGTTGATCCATCAGATATGAATGAGGATAATGCAGATTGTGGGGCGCTGATTGAACGCATGGCTGGAACTTTGAATGATGGAGTGCTGGAGCAATTATTTGTCTCAATCCAGCAGACCAACTTGGAGATATGCATGAGATATGCAATTGAGAGGTAACTACTCATGGTCTCATTTGCCTGCCGCAGGTGTTGGCAACTGATATTGTCCAGAACGCTCCCAAAACATCTTGACTCTGCAAAGATAACAACAACCGAAGGCTACAAGGAGATAGTAAGGACCTTGGGTGCCTGGTTTCCTCATATTTGGGTAAGAGTATTGAAAAGTTCAAAGGTTGCTCTCATCTATGTCGAGTGTTTACTTGCAGGAAGTGAGTCTGTCGATCCTCGTTCGAGCAAGAGCCATGCTGATCCAAGTTGTTGCCCACCGTTTGCAGTCTGTGAGTCCGTTGATCCTCGTTGGAGCAAGAGTCATGCTGATCCAAGTCGTTGCCCACCACTCGCAGAGAGTGAGTCCATCGATCCTCATTCGAGCAAGAGCCATGCTGATCCATCAATAGGACGATCTTCGCGATGATCACTGTGCGGTGATACAGTCCAAGTTGCTCTCTGTAGTATGTCCAATCGGTGGCAGATTGTACACATTTCTTATGCTGCAAATCTGCCAGGCCTCTAATGGCTCATCACCCTTGGAGAACATTGTTCACCTTGTTTCTGGTGAATTTTGAGGCTACGTTGTGATGAATCTGCTTATTGTTGACTGTTTATCTGCTGTCATTGTCTTTGAGCACTCTTTCTATATTTTCGACCAGCAGCCCTATCTTCAGGACAGGCAGAATTCTGATCCCTCCTTCTATGTCACTCTGGAGCAGTACATGCCGTCTCCGCATGCAGCTGCTGTCAGGGAAGGTGTGAGCATTGCCGTTCACACATTCCAAGAACACTCGTCTACTTCGAATGTTAAGCGATTGTTTGGACGCTTCCAGACAGGAAAACAATCCATTCGTGACTCCCAAAAGATGGAGTTGGTCGACACAATTGTTAAAATTACTTTAGAGCATCATCTGCGTATGTTTAGATGTTATTTTGTGGCAGCAATTCCGCTGATTCGTCGTCTTCAGCAAGACCTCAATGACAAGCAGTGCAACACAACATAGATGGCGTTCCGAAGTAGAGCTAACGTGTCCTGGCAGTGGATGTATGTTTCTTGGGTGGTCTGTTGAGGTAGTTTCAGGAGGTGGAAATGTACGAAGTGGTTGCGTAATCAAGAAATATAACGCTTTCTCTGGTATGATGTATGGGTGTTTGAAGCATGTGAGTCATCCTCAGCTGAGAGGGTGGTAAGATCTACTGGCCTTGATAATATTCTTAGTCCGATTCAAGTGCATCGATGCTCCATGTAGTAGCAGTCTGCTCCACAGTTTATCTCAAGTTGTGTCGTTCTTTTTTTAAAATGATCCAATTTATTGTCATTTCAGCGTTACATGATATATAAACACTATGAACGTCCCTCTTAACGTCAGTGACACCCTTTGACAACTAAAACTGGACTGTTGGTAGACAATAACCTTTGAAACAAGCAGCAGACGTACATTGAACATTTTCATTCTTTGAAAGACAGTGAGCATGTTACTATGGCTCTGGATTATAAGCCAAGCTTAAGGGTGGATATCGTTGTAGAGACTTGTGCCTCTCATTGTGCAATATTGCAGTTTTCACTAGGGAGTACATGGCACAAACTTGTAGCATCACTCTGTATGCTATCCACAGCTATTCCTACATGAGGTGCAGCTTTCCCGCTCACTTACTCACCCACCAAAGAACGACGAAGAACTGAACCAGAACAATACCCATTTACTACCCAGCAGAGCATAGTTGAAATCTATTCCTTGGCACCTCACATATAACATCTCTCAGCTTGCATCTCTCACCTCTTGTCTAGTGTCTAATCATCACTTAAGCAAACTCACTCTTACTCTCTTGTTTCCGCATATATGCACATGCATTCCCGCGCCTCGCGCGCACCTGCGCTTTCCCGCGCCTCGCATTTGCCAACCAGTAGCGCCTTCGGCGCCTACTACTAGATCCTTGCTGCACTCACTTCTCCTTTAGGGTCGAACTCACTTGTCGTCTCAAGTATAGCAGACTAGGCAATGTGCGACCTTACAACATTTATAGATACAGTCAGGAGCATTGTTCGTGCCTCGCTGTATCGTTGAACCTTCATCATGATCTATCATCCATGGCACCGCTCTGTGCATCCCCGGGGCCTACAGTTAGAACTGCATCATTTGGTGATCAGCGTATCGATTTGCAGTCGGGCTACACTGAAATATCCTGTGACTGCCTTTGTGAGCCGGACGGACCAGGACGGTTGAGTCTACTTTATGAGATGAATACAGGAAAACTTCACCAGGACTCAGAGTGGTCCGCGCTATGCTTGCATTCGCATAGAACAGACCCAACTTCATAGCAAGAGTTAGTAAACATGGGACTTATCAAGTTCATGTCAACAGCCAACACCCGTCACCATCAGCTCGACGACTATCAAGTTTGTCTTCCAGGTTCCTCATCAGATGTGCCAGCACCTGTGCCTGAGAATCTCGCATGCTCGGAGGCAGAGGGGAGGGTCATGCTTATCCGCTGCATCCGCTGTTATAGCATAATACGCAGAAGGGAGCAGCAGAGGGAATGAATATGATGTGGATTGGGAGTATCATTTCCATCAACAAAACAGCACGAAACATATATGGCCAGGTATGACCTTGCAAAGCTTACATGATCAACTAAGTCTGTTATTAATCAGTTATGATATGGCGGCCGCCGTGCAATGGAGCGCCAGCCTGGTACGAGCCTTGCAGTGTCTCACCAGTCTTGGCTTTAAATGTAAGAATGTTGCAAGACTTATGTTTACCTGAGATGACGAGTGCATGCAGTAGACCAGCCATATAACTGTCTTGCATGTACACTAGCTGGTGGTAGTGTCCAAGCATCCCGACCAAGTGTGGTTCAAAGCAACTCGGGTTCCGAGTCTGATCTTACAAAGTAGTTAGAGGCTCCCTGTGTACTAGTAGGTCGCACAAATGAGCTCCAGAGACACTGAAATTCACTGATTGAGTAAGAAAAACATATCCTGCCGCTGTAAAAATAATCAAAGATCAGCAAATCCCTCGAAGTCATCCCCAGCATCATCCTCTCCATCCTCAGGGCCCAGGTCATTGTCAGCCTCATCGCTATCATGATCTTCATCAGCCTCATCATCCATAAGTTCTTCCTCTTGGTTGACTCCACTATACCCATACTCCTCTATCTCCAATTCCACATCTTCATCACCATCGGCAATGCCTTCATCACCCTCCATCACCTCCTCTTCACCAGGCTCTTCACCATCAAGGCCATTGCTGTCTTCCTTGTCTGAGCTGCCAAAATCTGTATCTTCACTGTGGTCATCTGGAATGTCCGACTCAGGAGCAACCTCATCTAGAGGATCGCAGTCATCGAGGAATACTCGTGTTGCATCTCGAATCGACTTATGGCCCACCCCGCCGCCACGGAAACACATCATCATGTCTCTATCAACAAACCTACATTTGGTAAGTCTGGGACAGATGTACAAAATAAGAGACTCACATATTTACATAGTAAAACTTCCAGTCTTCATTATTTTCGTGCAGGGGACGGGCAATTGATGGTGGTAAGAGTGTGTCAGTATGGTCATGTTGAAATCCAGGGATCAGGTGGACACCACGAATGATATTACGTGGATCCAGGAATCCGAATGCACCTGGCTCGTCGGCAGGAATGAACCCAAGTCGGTGGAGGTGTTTTGCCTTCCAGCCTGGTTGGTAGTTGTTTGGGTCACAACCGAACCATCTAACCCACACGAAGTCCATTTGCTGGGGTGAGTTAAAGTCAGGTGCATCGCCACCTGTGTACACAACATTGACGTGAAACACTCCAAGGATGCGGGCATACCAATATGGATGGTCACCCTCATGCGTGAGGACCATTACATCAGCATGAGTTCGTGGATTAAGTGAGTCTTGAGCACAGCGAAGGTCATATGTAGTGTAGTTTATCCGAAGTACCTTGTGGCGGAAAATGTGATCGTTTATGAAGAGCACCTGGGCTCGTTCCTTTGAAGCAAACTCTGCTTCATCACCGTCATACTGATGTCCAAGAATGCGTGCAAGGAGATGATCTTTGAGGTGAGGAAGAAAATCCTATGAATGAATGACATCAGAAGGTAGTATACAAAAGTGAGATCAGTGAATACCTCTAGCACGGGATCATTCGCATTCCTCCCGAGCCATTGAGGTACATTTAAAAAGTACCTTGTGCTTGTAGCGATGTGATAGTGTGCTTTTGGATCAGAGAATGCCAATGGCTCTGGCTCTTCGAAAGTGACACTGGGAAGGTCCTTTGATTGAGCCATAGTGTGATGTCGGACCATGCCAGTGGCCTTGGCCTTGCCTTTCTTCAACTTTGCAGGCAGCTCATGTTCTGCCAGTCGAAACAAAATTCTCTCTCAGCATTGTTGTTTTGCGATTCCAGATGTGAACTTTGCCTTACTGACCCATGGATAGAAATGTTTTACACGACGGTGTTCAAGCTCGCCCTGGTAAAATGTATTAGGAACTGTTGGCATTTAGAGTGTGGTGACATACGAGTTGAGTGGAATTGTTATCAGTAGTACCAAAGCGCCTAATCGTGGAGACATAGTCACCAAGCATGTGGAGTTTGTATGTCTGGAAGTTGAAATATCGGGTTTTTGCTCCGCTGGACATACTAGCTCTTGAGGATGTTGTGTTACCACCTTTTGCAGCTGCTCGGGCCTTGCGACGCCCACGGGCAGCTTCCTCACTAGGAAGGTCATGGGTTGTGAACTTTTTCACAGTTTCTGACATAAATTGCCGGAGATATTTTCCAAGATGTGTTGTTAAGGTGTTGAGAAATCCAAGAGTCGTGTCCGTGTGCATGCGAAGCTTTGCGAGTCCATGCCACGTGGCGAGCTCAAAGAGAAAGTTAAGTAGCATTTCATTCCATGGCGATGGAAGTAGTCCCTCAAAAACTGGTATCGCACACTAAACAAATAGTTAGATAGTTACTGTTGGCTCCGCATCAGCCAGTTTACCTGGAGTAAGTCCTCAAAATCTCTAGCAGCAAGTTGTTTCATTGCTGATGCATTGGAACTGAATCGCCGGATTGTGCCTCGTCCAAATGTCGGAACTTGTCGATACCTAGACAATAGTCTTGAATAAGCAACTCAGCACATGTAAAACATGTTGCCTACCTCTCATTCAATCTTCCTATCTGATCGTGACCATAGGCATGCAGAATGCGAACGAGATGTGTGAAGACAGCCTTCCAGACACCAAGTTCAAACTCGTGAAGCAAATCCGGCACAAAGAGTGAATAAAAATTGAAGCCAAAACACCTAAGACATGTAGAAAAGGCATTCTGTTGATATAGTCAGCACCCAGCGAGATGTTCAAGTGAAGATAGATGTGTACCATTGAGGCAGTAAGCGAATTTGGACCCAATATCCTTTTCACAAAGACGCTCGTGATGTTCATGCCCTTGACATATAACCAGTCACGGACCATCCTAATCCTGCCTTGCAAGCCACTACTGTCTTCGCATTGATAGTTTTCACGCCGACACCCGTCAGCCTTTGTACCTAGCTCTCCGATCTTGTCCTTTTGAATCAAACACCGAGGACAGGGGCACTGAGCGAGAAATTTGATGCAGGATAAAAGAGTCCTAGTATCTCTGCATTAGTAGTATGAATGGGAAGGTCAGTGGCTTTCATGTACTTCTCTGGGTAGTCAGCTGAGTATGAAAAAAAGCGCGGAAAGACTCGTTGACTTATCCCATCAAGGCACTCAATAACGACACCAAATTCATAGGCATGCATGAAGTCATTGTCCATAAGAAGAAGCCAGATGGCTTGCATCAGTTCCTGGCAGCAGTAAGTCAATATTTCTGCTGTCGTGGCCTTGCCAAACACCTGACGATAGTGGTCATGAATGGTCTCGGTGAGCTAAAAAAAAAATAACAAATTAGATTATGGCAAAGATCGACAAAGAATAATTAGACTTACCTTAGGTATATATGCTAGATGGTGTGCAGCAAAGGATGAGGGTTTTCCGCGGATGTACTTAGATTGATGCCCGAGGAACAAATATATAGGCCACAATGATGCACTTCTGAAGCTAGTGAGATGTGTCGAGTCTGACCAAAGCATGACTGCAGCAACAACAGTCTCAAGCTTGCAATCTGGAATGGGGGGATTTGATTTGATGGCCTCATGCACTTCAAGCATAGCTGGCGAAGAGTAGATTTCGGAGTATACATGCTCTGCAGGTTCATTGGGTGACAGTTGAAAGAACAGTTTGAATGGAGTTAGATGAAAGTGTTCTGCAGATGCCTCACAAAATGCGGATTTCATAACCTCAAGCAGATGACGGTAGAATAGTCCAGGGACCTCGAACTCTGGTGCCGATGTTTCCAATGTGTGCTGTACACCATCAGCTGGTAGTCAAATTTTCACTGTCGTCTCTATCCAGCCATCTGTACCCAGGAATGATGAACGGATGTCTGCAGGGTCCCCCTGGTAGTTATCTAGACAATCCACCTCTTTCACAGCTCGAAATCCAGTGAGATGAGCCTTATCAAAGTCCTCAGCGAGAATGACCTCGTTCACGAGATGGTCAAGCTCCGCTAGTGATTTCATATTTGACCCGCTATAAAACCAACACATCAAACGAAAGATGGTGGAATTCAAGAATGGTATGAAGAAGTCATCCTTCACTGATGTGATGGAGGAGCCAAACCCAGACCACCATGGATGTGCACCCATCTGATCAGCTGTCTTTGGGAAATGCACCGAGTCCGATATGTGTGAGAGAGAGGTGAGGTTGTCAGGATCAAAGGTCGGAAAGGAATATGGATACGAGCGAAATATGCCGTATGAATCAGGTTCTGTGGTGAAGTATTCAGTTTCACCTGGAGGTATGTTGGGCTCTAATGAACCATCAGCAGCAACCAGTTTGTTGTGTGGGACTGGGGCTGGTGGTAAGATGGGATCTGGGGGAAGGTCATCATGAAAACGTTTGGGCATGCGGCGCCTTCAATTAGGCAGTCCAGATGGATGGATTGCTGGTGGTGGTGTTGGGGATCTTGCAGCCTATACAAATACGCAGTTAGAATATAATGAATGATGCATGAGTAGATGAAAACTTACTGGTACATCAGCTGGTTCATCCTCTCCTTCTGTCATGCTTTCACGGATCAACACCTGCTCCCTAAGGGCAGCATTTTCATCATCCTGCCGTCAGATTTTTGCAGCCAGCAATATCTCACAACCTTTCCATCGCTTCTCCATTATGGCTGCCAAGGATTCTGCCTGTTTTTTGCTGCATGAGCCTCGCATATGATTTGCGAGGCCACGTCAAGTCTCAAAGGGTACCTTACATACCGAACACTCAACCATGAAATCGGGAGTACTATTGAATGAAAAGGATGAGTGGGGTTTGAGTTGTAGCTGTGGAGGGGCAGAGGCAAAAGCAGCGTGTACTCACCTTTGAAATTAAATACACCTCATGGTGGCAGTATCAACCCCAGATCTAGACCTTCTATTGATAAGTGAGAGGTGCTCGGCACGGACTGCGATCCGCTAAAATGGCTCATTTCTCCGATAGTGATCACGCTGTGAATAAATTACTCAAGTGGACTCGTTATATTTCATGGTACATAAACAAGCACGGTCATGAGTCATGATAAGGCATCACGCCGTACTGCCCGATGGATCGCATGTAGACATCGTACTCCTCGCCTAAAAGTTCGTCCAGGGGAAGTTCGATAGTCGGATGGTAAATGCTAAAGCCAGTTGTGCAGCCACTGCTGATGCCTTCCCCGTAGCTCATGGGATTAGATAGGGCAGGGGCAGGGGTAGAGTAGAGGAGAGTAGTTGGGCCGAATGAAGTGCTAAAGATGGGAGGGAAGTGAAGTTTTTCATATGAGGTGGAGAATTTTTTGTAAGATGAGTCATTAGTTGGAGGAAGACACACCGTTCTGGTTGGATGCGGAGTTGGAAGAGGCATGGTTAGTGACAGAGGTTCCATCACCTCTCCTGCGCCTGCGACCCTCTCTGAACTCAACGCTAGGCCTGAGGTCTGGTTTGGTGGGGCTGGAGCCTTCAGCAGAGAAGGTATGAGATGAGGAAGAGGTTGCAGGAAAGGAGCTAGGAGGAGCATTGATGCTGAAAGCAATGAGGTCAGCATTCCGTTTGAAGTCAGGTGCTTTGAGGGATTTGATAGTGTTAGCCACCAAGAAAGATTGAGTCGAGGCATTGTCGGATCACATGACCTTACCCCAACAATGTGTCAACAAAGATTTACTCCAACATTTCATCCCAGTACATCATCCTCCTGAATCCTAACCCTCATCATGCCTGTTGTCGAGGCTGAGTCTGGTGAGCAAGACACTACTAACCCTCAAGTCAACCAGCGCTTCCAAGCCGTTGAAGGTACAACAATTCAGATGGTGAGTCTGAACAATTTTGGGTCTTGCAGAACCTAGCTGCTATTTGACCCTAAAGGGTTTCTGGACCAGGCTCATCAGGAAAACCCCAACTTACTTAATCTTGCTTAATCAACTTAGCCACATTTGTTTCCTCTCTCATGCATCATCTACCTAGTAAATTTTGTATTTTTTTAGTGTAACCTGTAACAAAATATGTATGCTAATATGACTGAACAACTTTTTCCTGAATATGTCAAATTTGAATTTCTAGCAAAGTAGGCTAAGTCACTAAGTACGACTTAAGTCTGTTTAAGGCAAGCTTAAGTAAGTTGGGGTTTTCCTGATGCTCAAGGCTCAGAGGAGAGGAAATGTCATAAAAACTGCTCAAGACTCAGACAGACTCATACTGGTAACTGGTGAAAAGATAACTTGATTATGTAAGCTACAAAGTGCCAACATAAGGTAAGGTAAAGACAGTCTCTCCAAGCCTAGCCAGAAATGAATCCCTACATCTCATGGGAACTTTGAATCATGACTGTCCCCAGTCATCTACCTATGCAAACCAAAGCTAAGCTAAACTAAGAAAACTAACCTGGGGGTCCTCAAACACCTTTTGTTTCCTTGGCGTGTATGCCAGGTAAACTGCGCCAGTGAGTGAGGGTCAGGCAATGCAATAAAACAATAATCTCCAGACTTTGCTTTGAGTACTGGAGGAGCAGCGATGATAAAGTGATGTGAAACGCGATGATGGTTGCATGGATGACGACGGGGAGTGGACGGATCGAAAGGGGCGAACGAGGGCTTCGAAATGAGTATAGGGTCGACTAGGATTGGTCAAGAACTGAGCAAGATATGAAAAGAATGATGGAAAAGGGAGGGAAACACGAGAATGGCGGATTGCGGAGGAACGCGCGGACGTATCGGGAAGCGGATCGTACGGATGGAAAGCGGCGGCGAATGCGGTCAGAATGAGTATAGGGTCGATAGGTGCGCGATCAAAGGGTGAGGAGATATAGATAAAATGGTGGAAAAGGTGCAATAAAATGGGGGGCGACGGAAAACGCGAATGGTGGGCGAATGGCGTGTCGGATCGTGGCACCGATGGGCGCGAATGAAAGCCATGAACGGGGGCTTCAAAACGGGTATAGGGTCGAGGGGGTTCCAATGCGAAATGGGCTGGTGAAAGTGCGAAAAAGTGCGGAGGTGCAAGAGGGAGGAGGAGGAAGGGGTATGGTGCAGGGCAACAAGGGCTGGTCCTATCAAAAAGCGGATTGGGGAAATGGACAGAGCCACTGAAGGATGGTAAATGGCCAAAAGAGCTAAAAGAGACAAACCTTTGAGCACCCAGAAAACCCTTATCTCCCCTCAACTTCTCAAAACACCAAAAACTCGATAACTCCACAACTACTGCTCCAAATTCGGTGAGCCAGGGCTCAAAATGACCGGACGGATGTGGGGAATACGACCCTAAGTTTGCGAGAGATCCGCTCGAAAAACACGTGAGAAAACCACTTATCAATGCACTGGGGAGGAGGACAAGATGCTGAAAACTTGAGAATATGGGAGAAGCTGATAAGGAATGACTGTGGTAGGATAATAGGCGAATTTGGGGGATGATTGGAGAGCTGGAAGAGCCTAGAAACACAAGAAACCCTCGCGGTGGGCTCCAGTTGAAAGTACAACAATTCAGATGGTGAGTCTGAACAATGTTGGGTCTTGCAGAACCTAGCTGCTATGCGACCCTAAAGGGTTTCTGGACCAGACTCAAGGCTCAGAGAAGAGGAAATATGATAGAAACTTGCTGAGTACTCTGACTCACTCATACTGGTAACTGGTGAAAAGATAACTTGATTATGTAAGCTACAAAGTGCCAACATAAGGTAAGGTAAAGACAGTCTCTCCAAGCCTAGCCAGAAATGAATCCCTACACCATTCTCAAGAGTCTCAACAACACCTCATCAGGAGGCCATAAGCAGAAGCACACGTACATGAAATTCTGATATATCTTATCTGCCAACATCAGTGTGACACATCCATAGGGATGCTCTAGACCCTTATCTTTTTGCAGCTCGATTCTTTCGTCTCAATCATGACCTCTTTGCAGACTTTGATGCTGTGATTCGAGAGGGTGTGTTGGCGGAATTTGATCCTGATCCTGATCAGGATCAAAGTGAATAGTAAGTTTCATTTTTGTGATTCTGTCGCTTACTTGATTGTCTGCACAGTGCGCAGGCTGTTACAGTAACATGGCACGAGTCCCCCACCGGCAGACAGCCCTCTGCCAACCGCACGGCTATAGACGATAGACGACACCGGAGCCTCACCAGCTCTATAGACGACGATAGATGATGATAGATGAGAGACGATAAGTGGCAACTGCCGGCTTAGATAAGCGGTCTGGACCGCACGTGACATGACATGACGACATAGGTCTAGAAGACCTATTTATGTTATCAAGATAGAAGGCAAGCCTCGTGTTGCCTCATGTACTGATAGAAGGGTACCGCATGGACCCTATCTACGATAGAAGCCCGCCTCATGGACGCTATCTCTGACTCATGTAGATAAGCAGATTAGAACCCAGCTTTAGGCTGAGCTTAGATACGAAGAGTAGCCTTATATAAGGTCGAAGATTACAAGTAGACGTTCCTTACTTTAATCTTACTAGGTTTACCCTTGAACTCCTTGTCCCGCTAAAGCTACCTGCTCGACATCGACTCGTACCTTCAGTGACGCCTCTCACTGTCTGTAAACCGCTATCATCTCGGCGTAACCCCTCATTAACCACCACGAGCTACGTTCGAGTACGCAACCTTTGCTTGTCTGTAAAGGCCGACGACTCTCAGCACTCGGTACCACTGTCGTGGTTGTCGCTGTTAGATCATCCTAGTCGCACACGACCGTTTGTCGTAACACAGGCAATCAGAGCCTACCTTGTATGGGTCTACAAGAACTTTGCTTCGACAATTCCGGGTTTCAGTGAGCTGAATACGAAGTTCGAGGCTGATCCCGATGCTTGGACTGGGTTCCAAAAAGCGGTAAGCTCATGTCTCTGTGCATATATGTGTCTTTTCTGACCTTAGACTGTCAGATGGAAAACGCTGCCAATAGCGCATGTTGTGATGACACTGGCTCTCTGAAGCACAACGGACTCCAGTACTTACTTAAAGACCCAGCCAAGGACAGGTTCGACCCTCCAATATTAAAGACTCACGGTAAGGCTGTATGAGGTTGGAACCATCCAGCGACTGCACGACTTCTGTGCCCTGCACGTGATATTGTCGAGTTTGATGAAGATCCAAAGTGAGTTCTTACTTTATTGTTCTCATATGCTTACAACACTGTTATATCCAGCGCATATATGGACCGCGTCAAATCGGGACAGAAGAAAATCACTGCAAAACAATGGCCGTCGATGTTTTACGACATGAGCCTCTACAATCCGAAGAACAAGAAGGCAGGCTTCCTGCGTGGTCACGCAATCATACAGGTGCGTGTTTTTCTCGCCATAGTAGCATCTCACATTGGGTTTGAACTTCCAGGGATGGTGCCATATCTTCACTGGACCGATGTCAGCGCTCTCAAAAGATCGGACATGTCACTCTTTGAAGCCGACCAAAGGCAAGATGCACAACTTGACGGAGCCAGGGCCAATAAATATCATGTATGCGGCAATACAGGTATCTTGTTTGTTTATATACAACACAGCACAACTGACAAGACTTTAGATGTACTTTGTTGCCTGCAATGCTGAATCCTGGACATCTGATGTTGGGTCTATGAACCTCGAGGAGATGTACTACATCAGGAAATTCTCACATTACTTATTTTGTCCTTAAACGGACTTATCTCACTTATTTACACTCGAGTGTCTTGGCGAAAGGAGGATCTACTTGTCCAACATTTCAACTTGAATGTATTGAGAAAAAAAATGTTGATGTATATTAATATATATGTTTTATTATATTTCACACTAAAAAAATATGAAACATGCCAGGTGAATGATGTGAGAGAGAGCAAATGAGTTTTGAGACAAGTGAGATAAGCTGATTAAGGAGATTAAGGAATGTGTGAATTTACTGATGTATACCGCGGTCGACTTACTACTCGGAGAGCACGCAGAAGATCAGTGGGTCAAGGACTTGCTGCAGTTTTGGAAAGAGTAAGTTGCACAGTTCACTTCAAGTTCTGTATATTTCACAAGACATTCTAGCGAGGCACCAGGACTTACTAAAACCCTATCAAAACGCCAGAGAGTTGCCTCAAACTTAGCGTCTGACAGTGAAGACGACATGGACGACTTTTTTGGTGACAATGACAAACCTAGCACGGTGTCATGCATGGTATGTGATTCATACCATGTCAGATATATATAGAGTGATAAGGAAGGTATGAGAGACTGTCTAGCCCTCTGTCACTAAGTTACCTCTCTGTTTTTCCTTTGATTCATTGTCTTATATTTTATTTCTCACTTTTCAGACTTGTTTTATCTTGTATTTTATGAACATGTGACCTTCTGTTTATTTCTCATTGTTTATTGTTATTTGGCTTCTTTCAGCCACCAAGTTTTACATCTCTATTTATTTCTGACTGTTTATTTTTATTTGGCTTCTTCAGCCACCAGATTTGTTTGTCAGCACATCATGTGACTGGGAAATAATCTGATTTGTAACAATATTCACATGACTCATCATGTTTTGTCATGATTTGTCATGCTTTGTAAATTCTTTGTAAGATTACACTGTATTTGTAATGTACTTAGTAATAAGCTGATTCATCACCTGGTTTGTAAGCCACATTCTTACCAATCCATCTGATAAATCATGCTTAGTAAGGGGGTTCCCAAAAAGTATAAAAGGATCCCATTTTCTCCATGAAATAACAATCCTCCCACTTGACTCTTGTCTCAAACCGTGTGAGATCACTAAGAATTAAAGTGCAGGCCAACATAAGTGCCTTGAGGTAACATCTAAGATATCATTATCTACTCTAAGTTATATACTACCTTACAGGGGTTTGACTATATAACTTTCGTCATCGTTATTTTACTCTAGGTTATATACTACCTTACAGGGGTTGACTATATAACTACTGAACAGCTCTCATTCTAAGCTTTATGTGTATATATAAGACTCTCTCTTTCAACGGAAAGTGAGACACAAATCTAAGGACGACAAAGTTGAAACAGACTATCATAGGTTGAAACACGGCCTACTAGGCTGAAACAAACCTAACAAATTATCCAGAACACAGAACATATTTGTTTGAGATTACAGGAAGAGGACAACAAATTAAATCCTCCCAAGAACTCACCACATTACCTCCCACGAAGTAGAAAAGTCAGAGACCATGGACTTAAGGACTGGCAAGAAGTCTTCACCGTGTATAATTGTGTTGTCATTATACACAACTTTCATATAAGACCCTTAAGTAACAAGACAGCGGGAGGATCAACTAGGGACCACGAGTCAGCAAGCAGTGCTCCGATGGCAGGTGGGAATACTTCGACGAGCGGCTCTGGACCCAGCTCGACAGGTAGTGCCAGTGCCAGTGCTGGACAGGCAGGAACGGCAGGTGGCACGCTCAAAGGCGGGAACATGACGAACACTGGCAACATTGACAGTGAGGATGAAGAGGAGCAGCAGCAGCCCCAGCGCAGACGCAGACTCGGACATTCAAAGAGAACGCTCACCATTGACCCCTCCTCCCACATCTCCTCCTCCTCCCAGTCCTGTACACCAGCCAACACCTTCCAGGGGTCGCGGTCATGGTCGTGGTCGTGGAGGCAAGCGAAGCAAATGTTGAATCCTATAGATGTGTCTCATCGCTTGTTTCACGCTTACCTGTTCATACTAGATGTGATACTTTGGAGTCATGTTTTCGTTATTACTTATGTTGCTTGCTCTCTATGTTTTTATTTTATCATGGCAATTAATTCATGTGAACCAAAATCCAATATATTGTGGTCTAAGTGAATACATGGGTTGGAACTATTACATGCATTGGAACTACGACATGATGGTACAAGACCCAAACAGGTCCAAAATCTCTGATATGCTCCGCAGTACTTGCATGCTTTACCTGACCTTAAACGAGCCACAAGTGCATGTACAGTACACCAGCCTGGTGTAGACTGTTGGAATATTCAAGTGAACGTACTCGTGCCTGCCGCATGCAGTACACGAGGTAGGTACCTTATATACTCACTTAGATGCAATAGTCTACTTTGTGTATGGAATTTGTACCGACTGTCGATAGGAATCTATTCCGCTGCTCATTGTCTCGTACTTCTCACATAGACTTGTCAGAAATCCGATGTATGCAAGTGATTAAATGGTCTCAAACCAGGCTGGCGGCACCTTGTGACATATGGTGGACCTTGGGTATCCTTACACGACCAGGTGAACCCATATAAGATAGGTGCTGTTTTGTTGATGTCGGATGGTGCCCACAGCTGATGTCTTTTGCCATGCACCTTCTTCATCGCTGCTACTTACTACTATATATTACATACTAAACCTTGCGGCAAACAGTACTAGTCAGGCTGTAGCTATTAGTAAACTTAACTTATACAATGTTCAAAGTAAGTACTACGAAGTTATCACAAATTTCACTGCGTGAAGACCGAGACTATTAGCATAGGCCTATAATGGTACAACATGGTAGTACTGTACTAGTTACTACTTATGATATAATCTACAACCAGTAGTTTAACCTGGAGGCTGGAGCTGGTACGGTAACTGGACCACAGAACAGCAATGAACGCCAACCAAAAAAACACAAAAACTGCTCCCCCCAAAGTACCCGTCTTTCCAGATCTAAACATCATGACAATCGTAATTGCTCTCTGATCAGTGAGATAGAGGCTATTCACGACAAGCTGGTCAAACTCTCCCACCAACGCCTCATCACTCTCGACACGCTCCGTGGCTGACGTGCATACATAGAAAAAGCAATTTGCGCCGTGCTCACTTGGCACTGCACTCCGCCTCCACTGCCCGATGCACTGGCAGTTGAAGAGGGCCCGGGTGTACTCGTACTAGTTGAGCCGGAATTGGAAGATGTCGGTGATGAAGTATTTGCTGCCGCGAACGGGACAACTGCAGGCCCAGGGAACGTGTACTGCACGGGCGTGTCAAAAATCGTGGGATCGTAAATTCCTGGATCGTTATCGCTGTATCCGCCTGGAAAAGTGACTTCATCACTCGCTGGTGCGACGGCTGATTGGTCGCCCTGAATATTTACCTGTAGAGGACGTGATCGATATGGAATGTAAGATTACGAACAAACATGGCTCACCTGCGTACAGCTAGGGTAGAACTCAGCGCCGCCCATCTCATTTGCGAGATGTAGCGCGATGATCTCGTGTCGTATGAGGTATTGCCCTGGAGCTAGTGTTGGAGGAAGGGTCACGTTTGCTGGCCCACCATTCACTGTACGTGCAACATTCAGATAAAAAAAAAGAATGACGTGAATGAATAGACGTACTGATATTTTGCTGATACCAAACCATATCGCCTGGCTGCAGCCCCGTCTCCTCGATCTTGAACCATTCCGCGTTTGTTGAATTATACTGATCGCACGTCGTGTTGACACACTGCGCCATATAAGTCATGATGGGGCCGATATTGTGGGGCCAATTGCTGCCGTCACCACCCTTCCACCAAAATTGCAATTGACTGGATGGATTAGCGTTGGCGACAAGTGATGCGAGTTGAGCATCTTGGCCGCAATTAAGATACGGGTTGGAAGCGCCCTTCACGGGCGCGACATCATTGATCTGTCTGACGATGCTGGGAACGGGGTCGGCATTGGGAACGTTCCCATAGTAGTCTGTGCCATCGATTGCAACTTGCGCGACATATCCATGGCCTGAAACAAGTGGTAGAAGTGCAAGGATGGCTAGGGAAAACTGGTGCGAGCAGTAAGACATGGCACGTCGACCTAGTAGTTCAAGGATGTCGCAACGGAAGGGCTTAAGTTTTAAGCCTTATATCAGGGATGGAAAAAAGATGCGTGTAATGGAGGGGCGGTAAATTAAAGTTAGATCGGTGGAAAAATGCACACAAGGGGTGACAAGGCTCGCATACAGCGTGAGGAGAAGGCACGTCGTGGTATAGGCGGGGATGTTGCGGGGAAAAATAAGTAAAACGCAGGCGCGAGGACACAACGTGGTTGCACTCATATACGTACATATATGCGTGGCCATCAAATTTAAACTTTTTATTGTACTCGAGCAGCTGGGGAAGAACAACAGGAGAGAATGCGTGGACAAGCAACGTGCCCAACGTGACTCTTATATTGCTTCCGTAAGATAAGATTAGATGTACTTTCAAGTTTTCCTGCTCATCCTTTACTACTGCCAACTGCAAGTACCCTCCGAGTTCAAGATACAACTAGGCATTGATCAAGTTATTGCATGAGAGTGTATAAGCCTGAGCTAATGGAATCATCGATCTGATCACCTGCACCGTCCATTTCAGCTGCGAGCCTCATGTCCGCCGCATGTCCGCGGTATCTGCTGGTTACCGGTTCTCTTCCATCGAGTGCTCTTCCATACATAACGTTTTTAACTCACAAAGACGTTTGTGCATTTGGTATTCTAGGTTCCAGGAACTGTCTCCATGCTACATCAACTGCTCAAGAAGCAGACTGATTTCTATCACGGTGAAATCGTGCAAGTCAATCGGCTGCTGCTTGGGTGCAGCTACTTAATGACTCTGACAGACCGTCGCGATTTGGCGTGTACAAGGTACTCTGCAGTTCATCAGCTTTGCTCTTGGCGTTCGGTAAGACTGACAGTGGTTAGAGATATATTTATAAAGTTCCGTGGAAAAGTGGTAGTCAAGGACCCAAGGTTAGGAGGCTTGAGGATCGTTTATTATGTACCGAACCCATTTACAAAAATCCTGCCAATTTCCAAGCGGGCAATTCCTTTCGGCCCCTTATACTACATATATGCAAGGTATATCATATTGGTACATAAATTCTGCTGTGCTTATTTGGCGGCTGCCAGCGCCCCATCGACAATCTCGGTCATTTTTATGACAGCCTCTTCCTCCAAAGTCCGACCTACGAGTTGCAGGCAAACAGGCGCGTTCTTGAATATCTCCGGCTCGTCTGAATCAATCATTTGCCAATTAAAAAATCGTTGGGTGCTGGCAAAGTACTCACACATTTCGTAGATACCCTTATCAAAATCGTCATAGAAAACATGACGAGGTTTCTTCGCGTCAAGAGTGGGGTCGACTGTAGTCACAGGGAAAGTCGTAGCGGGATAATCGAGCGCGTTCCAAACCGTGGTGTAGTTAGTGTACCTATGGGCTGTTTGTCACTGATAGTTTCAAATATTGCAAATGCAAAGATACTGACCTGTTCTTCCCATGGGGAGTCGCTACATATGATGACGCTGGACATATGATAGCATCGACAGGCCGTCCTGTACCAGTCTCTGATGATGTTGCTTCCCAATGGTCCAGATATTCTTTTCGGATGTCTCTGCGCAGTTTTTGCACTTGCCAGAGCTGGTATGCGGTGATACCGACCTTCTTCGGGCGGAAGGGTGCTGCCGTAGCATCTGAATCATCTAGCTCCATCGTCGCAATTATTGGTTCCCCTGTGGCGGAGGTCGTCATCATGTAGTCTTCGCTGGAGGCGGCGTTCCAGATGTTCCGCTGTATGATGCTGCTAGGTCAATTGGTAGCATAAGTTAAGAACAGAATTCCTTGCCGTGGTGTCTGCAAGCAACCTGTGCTTGATAGGCTTCCAGTCAACAACTATCGCCAAATGAGCACAATTTAGCAGAAGAGTTATACAAGAAAAACCTTTGTGGCCCGCCTTCTCGAGAGCCGCTTTAGTGATTTCCAGAGACCTCCTAATAGGCGGGTGGGGCACAACAACGCCATCATCCCACATGATCGCAAAGCACAAGTCCTTGCCAGATCCATGGTCTGCGAGATTGTATTCGTCTTCATGCCATTTCTTCCTAACTGCAAGAGGATCTTTGAGCCATGGTTTGGCATTGACAACAGCTTTCATGAAGGCTTTGACCCCGCCGACGCTATTTGTCATAGGACCGAACACGGAGTGAACCGAGTCTTGGCCCTCGAGTGAGTTAAGGGCGCCACAGTACGGCACACGCCCGTATGATGGTCTCAGACTGTACAAGCCACAGAACGAGGAAGGAATACGAATCGATCTGTCGAGAAAGCGTCAGAAGATCACTATCGATCGTAGCTCCAAATCCCTTCCTACCCCCCAATATCAGAACCTACCCCCAAAGGGCTTCCTTTAAGGGCAACCAACGCACCCTCTCCTCCTGATGACCCACCCGGGGTTAGAGAGCGGTTGTGTGGGTTAGTCGTCCGGCCGAAGATATTATTGAAGGATTCTGGCCACTGAAGATACGTTCAACCCCGAATAACAGCTTAAATCATGTTCAGCGTGCGCTCACCATGACTGTCTGTGGAAGATTGGTGCGGACAAATGGCACGGCTCCGCACTCGATCAGAATGTCGACCAATACAGCGTTTTTCTCTGCGTATCGCCCAATCCACGAGACATAACCTAAGACCAGCGATTCATAATTGATCGGAACCAGGGAATCATCGATTATCACTTACCCATGGTAGTTTCTAGCCCCTTGATACATATTTGATCCTTTAGAGAGATCGGCAGCCCATGGAGGGGACCAACGACCTTCCCTGTCTGTTTGAAATGATCATCGAGTTCCGCTGCTCGGGCTAATGCACGATCAACAAATATTTCCGTCAGGCAATTGACCTCATTGGCTGGTTAATACAATTTTCGTCAAGCAAATGTCCACGAAAAATGGCTCACGAGCTGGTGAGCGACAACAGCCCTCTTGTAAAACGCGGTGGTAACGTCTACAGCAGTCCATTCGCCACACGCGAGTTTCTCCAACAAAACATCCACCGAAGTATTGGTGATCTCAATTTCTCGTGCAGTCAGAAGGCCGCACGTCTCCGGGAAACCAGTCACGTCCAGAGTAGAGTCTGGAGGAGGGGACACAAGCCACTCTTGTGGAATGGACTTGAGCTGCCTCTGCTTCTTCTCTGCAATAAGTTCAGTCCAATGCGGCATGTCGTTCGGGAATGGAGTGGGACGAGGGCAATACTGAAACTTCACAAGAGATAAGACGGACAGGGTGATAAAAGGCTCTCCGCGACTGATATTAATAAAGTTAGAGATAAGACTTTCAAAGAAGACTGATAATAATACCTGAGGAAGTCCCTTCATTGCCTTCGCTGGGGGCTGTCGTGACGGTTCAGAGCAAGAGCCTACTGCAGCGGATGACAAGCACCATCTTCAACATGCTCAGGCTGTCAAGAATCCGCAAGATATACCAAAGACGAAGATTGGGCTTGTGACAACTGAGTCGCAACATACAATTGGATTGGTGTAATTTGGCCAGTAGTGACACGGTCGGACAGCCCAGGTTTCAGTAGCATTGGTATGAATCAGGGTCATGCTGTAGCTTGAGGTGAAGCAACAAGAATCGAGATCGAGAGATGACGAGTGCCGGCTGAAATTCAATATATGGAGACCCTGCAAGTGCGCGATCCGCTCGTCTCTGGACCGCTCCAGAAGGAATTGGGCGGAATGGCCTGGAACGATCTTTACATAAAACGTTTCACCATGACCACAAGTCATGACAGTAGGCCATCAGCAAACCGAAGTCGCACAGTCTTGTAATTATAAACTTCACACGTATAAGTCTCAACTTCGCCACAAAATAATCAATTGTAATGTAAACAGCTAGTTTCCTATAATTTGTACTAGACTAGTGAGCTCAGGTCCAACTGAGACCAATTTTCTTAGAATAGCAAACCTAGGAAAACTAGCACTAATCATTCTAAGGAATCAGTAAGGAATGTCGACAAAAGAATGGTAGGTCAGCAGGGATCAATATAGGTGCGCTCTGCACCCTCGCTTATTAGGTACCAAGAACGCACATCATGAACTTGCGCTGTTAGTAGTGCTGTTTATGTATGGACCGCACACGTCCGGATCGTGGTACGCCGCAGGGTCCTGGGTCAAGAACCCGAGTTTTAACCCCTCGAGGTAAGACCTATATAGACGGCCGTCAGATCTTTCGTAAAGCACCCTAAGATGCGCTTGACTCACCATTGCCTTGCGAGTGCACTTCCATTGGTGAGGGTTGATATCTCAGTTTTGAAGTTCCAGTACTGAAGTAATCATCTTTGAGCAAACATCTTGATCAAATGCAATGGGACACGTACAATCCATCCGGCACCTTTGCTGTAGGCCAACTTCTGTGCATCGGCCCACTTGTAGAGGAACTCGTCCGTGGCATTGAACTGCGTCGAAAGTCCCCACTCTCCGAACCAGAGTGGAGAATTGCCGACCGCTGCATCGGCCTGGATACGTGTAAGATCTTTACCAAAAGTGAGTACATCATTGCCGAATGAACGGAGAAGACGCACTGCAGATACTGATCAGGTAAGACCTCGGGTCAGCAGCCGCAACTCCCTATATATTTGTTAATGCAAAGCAATAAGCCACGTGCACGCGACATACACCAAACCTGTAGAGAGAAAATTAAAATTAAAGAAACCATGAGAACTTGACGTAGTCAACCGTGTACTCACGAGTAATACAAATGGTTGTCGTAAGCTTGGGGGCCAATCGCCGCGTCAGCTGGATTAGAGGGGTTATCGTACTGCCAGTTCACATCCATGAAGCTATGCATGCCATCGTCAATGTATCCTAGCAAGGACTCAGGGTGAACTCACTTGGTCACCAGTGGAGGACGGGACTGATGGAAGGGTGATGCTTCGAATATGGTCTGCAAATCGAACGCTACTCCGATTTCTAGTAAAATCGGAACGGCTTCTGAAAGTGCCGTTTGCACCTCCACCGGGAATGTGGTTTCGGAAGATGTCGCACTCAATGCAGCCGTGAAGTTGTTCGAGACGGACGGTGATACTGATACTGATAAACTGGATGATGGCACAAATATTCCGAGTATGAGCTCAACTGCACGGATCACCTGGACGAAGTTCTTTTGGACTGTACAGAGGTTCAGGAATCATGAGGGCACAAATAAAAGAATTGACGACGAGTGATACATACAGTTGCCATAGCCGGGTGTCAGAGTCGCGTTCATAATGGGTTCATTGATTGCCTCGATCGCAAAGACGCTTCCAAAAGTAGGGTCCAGGTGAGAAAGTGCAGTCATGACCGCTGTCCACACCAGCGCACGGTGATAATTATACGGAGTCTGTGTGTAAAGATTTCTATTTGATGTTTTTACCAGCTGCGAAATGGCTCACGTAGAATTGAACATCGGAAGTGCAACTAATAAAAATAAATTTTAGCACAGAACAGACAGGAACCAAACGGGAACCTACTTTCCGGTGAACATTTGTCCAGCTGTTTGAACCCCGGGTAATGCGTGATGATCCAGGATCGCTTGGATCCCGGCATCTTGCAGCCAGCCCAAGCCCCGACGCTACACGCTCGAGTTTAACAAGAGAATTAAACTATAGCAGAGCTTCTAACCAAGTACTCGAGACCACCCCGAGGGTATGATTCGTGCGACCTATCGACTAAGGCCTCCACAATCCAATATCCCAGCTATGAACGGGCGTAATGCATAACACATGGAAGTTGGCACAAGATGAGAAAAAGCAAAGCAGATCAAACCATCCAACGTTAGTCTGACCAAGTCCACAGTGACCTTGGAATCGACTCACAGGAACCCTGACGGTGTTAATACCGGCCGCCTTCAGCGTATTGACATGGTCCTGCGTAAACCACGTGTCCCAGTGTTTAGCGAATGTAGTGTCGACGGTGTCGGGATACGCCTTTGCAAACGACCTATTTGATCGCAGATCAAATTAAATTTCACATGCGAACAGTGTAGAATTAGAACGTACGACTCGGTTGAAATGCATGACGAACAATCATTAGCACATGACTGTCCACCCATATCCAACCACTCTAAAGAAACTTGTTCAGTGAACGCGTATTTGCAAAGTTCGTTGGTTTATCACCTTGAGGAAGCATCCATGGCTCTAGGAGCAACCTGGGCTATCACTTAAGTTGAACAGTCGGTCGGAGGCAGAGAGTAACACTTACCATGAACCCAGATTAACACCATGGATGTTAGTTAGTTGTGCAGCCCACGCACGGGCAGCAAGCGTGCCCGAGAGCACCAAACCTGCCAGAATATGTCTCATCGTACAATTATTAGGCCAAGAGAAAAAATATGATTCAATAAAAAAAGATTCCCGGTTTATATGAATATCTGTCCAGGCAGACGTGGCAGGTCAGATTAGGTCGCACAGGTAGAAGCGCATGGGTCAGTGATTGCATTGAAAGGACCCCTCAAATACCTCATTGTATATCTCGTCACCGCGACGCGATGGAAACCGTCCCGACCTTCGTATCAACCATAGTCCGATTCGCCGTCCAGGCCTGGCGCCTAATAGATGTGCGCTCAAAGTCTCGTTTCTGGATGTTGGATTTTCAGATTAGGCTACTAGACGGTGTGCCACATGCACCATGCTGCTTCTTTCAAAAGTCAGTAAAGCTATCGAGATATCAGGACTTACACCTGGCTTCCTCACCCCCTTCTATTATTCGAGTCGTCGTTTATGTAGACGATGCAACCGTACACACGCGTGTATCAATGTTACAGGAACGCTCTTGAAGGCCAGTCCCCAAAAAGGAAAAAACATAGTGCTGTCCATGAGAACCTGTGAGATTGTTATATATCGTAATATATAAGAAAGATTTTCGTTGCATTGGGATAATAAAGCAAAATATGGCCATGTGAGAGCAGAGCAATTCAGCGCCAACAAGGGCCAACTTGAACCTGCAAGAGCTGCTTAACTGATTGTAAGTTGCAAGCCATGTCAAACCACGAACTTGACTCAACGTTTGAACCTCCGATAACCGCATCCGGGCATCAACTTAAAGAACGACGTTGTGACACGTGCGGTCCTATTTTACATAATTTCGACGATTAGCCTGCTAGCGGCTTGTAAGCACTACAATACTATAGCCACGTTCTCAGAAGCAAGTAAATCAAAACTAACAGAGCCTCACAATTTATGTCGACGTCCCGTGCACAGAATTCTCTCCACCAGATCTTCTATTTAGGATGGGGATGAGTAGAAGACACGAGTCCATCCTTGAGCTTGAGTGATCTACGAACTGTATTAATAAGTATTATATCCAACGCAGACAGTGATACTGCAGCGCTCCTAGGTCGATACCATATGTGTAATCCATAAGTGATGTGTCCAAATCGTAATCTCATGACGGTTCTGCAAACTCAAAACCACGGATGACAATCCCCCCCGTCCCATCGATACACCTGAGTGGCATCGCCCACAACCAAGACAGTTCTCGCCATCCATGCCCCATTGTATACCTTTTCGATCCACCACCGGAGTACAGGATGGCGCATGAACCATTTGAAGTAGGCATAATATCTATGCAAGGATGATGTATAAGCCACCGTCCCAACAACATCGATGGGGGACATACCTCCATTTGTACGCAGTGATTACCCTCGGGTTTACATATATGCGCTGCAGATTGAATTGTCGTCTCAGGTCGTATGGGAGCAAAAAGCTTTCTGACGAGAAACATTCTCCTGGGGCAGATGCGCGGAACTGTATTGGGGGTGTCAGAGCGGGAGTAGGACCGCGCATGGTGGGATCTTGTGTTGCTGGGTGTGTCGAGGGTAATTCGTATGGTAAAGGGTCAATGGAAAGCGTGCGGTTGGATCGCAAGGGTATGGGAATGAGAGGATCTGCAGGGAAGACGACGATACCGTTCCAGCAGGAGAATACAGGTGCGGGAGAGTCTGTCTGCATCGCGCGATAGTCAGCTTCGTCGAAGAAATATGGCCATCTTCAAGTCAAATTAAACATGGTTTCATGAACATGAAATTCGCACTCACATTCCACTGGTGAGTTTTGCTTGTCGATCTCGGAGGACCCACATATCGTATGCGCTTTGAGATGTTAGAATGATGAGAATGGAAGAGCTAGATCAGCGTACCCGAAATGCCCAAAGTCCAGACCGCATGCCATGTCATAGTCTCCATTATTCGTCTCCAGTAACTCTACCAAGGTCTCGGGCTCAATAAATATGTCATTCGAGAAGACAACTTTATCGTATCCTCCTTCCATTAGGGGCTCAAGTGCGCGGTTACGAGTGGCAGCTAAGAAGTCGATGCGCTCCCTCCCGCCCAAATAGTCAGGTCGGGATATAGTCTCATCTCCTGTGAGTATGCGCCGCGACACGCCCATGAGTGCAAGGTCTGCATCTAGTTCTCGAAGAAGCTTAGGCGAGGCATCAGTACTGTGGCTCTCGACGACCGAGACGAAGACGTTGTCTGGACCGAGATAATGTATAGCTTGGATGAGAGAGTTGAGCCAGTAGGGTATGACTAGTTCGTTGTTGTAGAATAACGCAGCGATGAATATTTTCTCTAAAAATGGATGAGCTACCTTCGTATCGACAGATTCGAAAAAGCTTGCCTTGTTTCCCGTGCCCTTGTCTTAACGGATGTGCAACGGCGGACTGCACTGCATCTCTGTAACGCACATCGCCTGGCTGTTCATAATGCGCTCCGACCCAGGTGCTCGCACAAAATAGGATGGTATAGGTCAGAAGCTGTATCCACCATAATTTATGAAACTGATGCGCCACCAGATGCGCAGTCGGAGACACAGGCCTAGAAGAGCGCTCACTACCTTCTTCGGCTGTTTCCAGCAACGCGTGTTCCTCGTCAGCAACGTCGAATGGGTAGTCGATAGGGCGTCGCTGGAGCATGGCATATCCCTGCTGGGAAATGGTCACGTCTCCATCCCATCTGCTTGAGAGTAGTGGAAGTAAAAGTCGGGACAATTGAACAAAGGTGAATGTGGGCACTACGAAGAGGAACATGAGTAGGACTCTCCATGTCGCGGGGAAAGCAGGTAGCCATCCAGTGAGAGCGGCGAAAAATGAGATAGAGAAGATTATTTCTGTTGCGATGTAAATCGCGAGGAAGATGGAGAAGGAAAGGAGGATAGGGTTGCGTTTTATTGGGAGAAGTATTCGAGATATGAAGTGATGGACATTTAGTTTTCTGAGAAGACGTCCAGTATAAAGGAGAAAAGACATGGGGGGTGGAATCGAAGCATGGTGGGGATATAGGAAATCCGAAGGGGTTTAGAGCTCGAGTACTGACTCCGAACCGAGAATCGTGTAAGCGCCGAACTGCGCTTTATTATAAAATTAGACGCTCACAGTCGCTGCCACACATACCACCTTTATTCCCTCGACACCCAAGTACTCGGAGTTTATGTCATGCACAGTAGTTATAATACCATACAGTAATCACACCAGATCAGTACGGGCCGACTCATGGTATATTCTCAACTTTACTGATCAGTAATATCAGGAATCTGATTGGCCACTATTCCGAGATCTTTTCGTCGTCATCAACCATCTCGATACTCTTCTCGCTCCCCTACAACCATACCCCGATTACACCAATAAATTATTCCTTTTTCACTCCGTGTAGTGCTACCGTCAAAATTTTCAGCTTGTTCAGAGGCGTTCCCTACTCACATTGGACTCATCACCGAGTGATGTTCTAAAGTCGATACGCCAAAGCACTCCCATGGAACTAGTATAAGGAGCAGAACTGCCAGCAAAACTGATTGTTTTCCGGGGCGGCAGAACTAGACTATCGTGATGTGTATAACATTCCTAACGGCGACATCAGTGTTGCCTCGTCCCATCCACCATTGTAACTAACAACCTCAACCCCATCTAGAATGGCTCGTGGAATTATTCCATGTTCGACCCGATCCAATTCGCCAAAATCAAAAACTTTTTCCTCGAGCACTTCAACTCCATCAAAGCTCTCATCCTTTTCATCCTCATGAACTCCTTGAGCAAATTCAACAGCGATATCGTCAGGGGAGATACTAAGCAAGGAGGTCGTCTGCATCACGAGGCTCTGTTGAGAGCGGAGGTGCCCATGCGAAGGGTGAACCAAGATCCTGTGTAGTCTCAACAGCGATGCCAAAATCAATGATCAGTGATGCAAGGGGGCGTCCGCCAGCATGCACCATCTTACTTCAGGGACGTCCATTTTCATGTTCTATTGAAGCTATCAGATCAAAGTCGAACTCTGCGGGTTTCGGATACCCTGGCGTCCTGTTAGGTTGTATCAACCTCCCTTCGTGTGAGTTCTACTGTGGAGTCGCTATCCGGTGGTCTCATATCAATGTAACGCAGTTTGAGTGTTATCAAGAAATTTTAGTACCTGCCACACTGGCAGAACGTGTTTCTTCCAAGTTCTGCCAGGAGAACTACTTTAAAATAGTTATGGCCACAAATCTGGGCCGCACAGCCAGCTTACCAGAACGCTTGGTAAAACTCCCGAGTTCCGCCAGCAACACTACATGGAACCCCTCACGGCGTCACATATATTTCAGATCGCCTATATAGTCCTCTTGTCTTCCAGAACCCGTAGCGCAGAGCTCTATCCGCAGCTTCAAGATGCACTACGTACCCATGGTTATACCTAAGCTCAGGTACCACTCGTTCTTGTCACTCATGGTTATAGATCTCTGACTCGATGTTATAGCGTGACAGAATCTTCGACATAGCTGGTGTGCCTTTCGATGACGTCTCTCCAGAAGAAAAGATATACACCGCCAGTATCGAGAAAGTTGACTCTTATTTGGCTTATAAATTCCGTTGATTCTGGGTGCGTCATATTCCACGAGGGATAACATTTACGAAGCTTATTGCTCTCATTCAGAAAGTCAACTCGGACAATGAAAATTTCGATCAGATCGAGAATTATGCAGGTAGGTGTTACATATACCCGTGTGATGGATGCTTTTTACGCTTCGGCAGTAAACCTCGATGTCACAAGACGACCCCATCCCATTGCCTTGCGCCTGTTTCTTCTAGAGCTCGATGATTTTGTTCGCCATAATCACTTCAACATTCTCCACCCGATCCTTCGGTCAGTTCTGCTGCGAGTTCCTTGCCAATGTTTCAACTTACTATGAGCGGTATCATACAGCTTGATCGCATCAAGCCTTGAGCTGCCCGAGGAGACTTTGGTGGAAAAATACAACTTTAATCGAACGGGAGAAACTTTTTGTTAGCCTTTCTTTTCCTGTATCTGGTCCTAGATCGATAAATACATTCGCAGTCGCGTTCATAAAATAGTAAAGGCCCTTTCTTCGCGACTGTCCCTTAACTTATGAACTCTCGTCAAGCTATAGGCGCTCGAATGAAGAAGAGGAGAAATTACAAAGTGTCTGGTTGAAGGGACACACAGGTACGATTGATGCATGTTTTACTTCACACCTGTCTCCTGAATCACGCAGACACCGGCGGTATCACTATCCTATGGAGCCAGCCTATTGGCGGCCTGCAAATTAAGGCTCCTGACGGTACGTGGAAATGGGCCGACACATTAACAATGGTTTGGTACGCCCATAATACATTACCATGATATCTGCGAACCTGATGCTCCACCACAGGTTATCAATACAAGCGACATGATGCCATTCTTCACAGGCACGTACTACAAGCACACAATTCACCGTGTCATCCAGCCCCCCTCGGACCAACGTGCATACGACCGTCTGGGTGTATACTACTTCTCGATGCCAGATAACGACGTTCGTTTGTTGCCGTGTTTTGAGAGCCCTGTGTTAAAGCGCGTTAGGATTGAGCGCAAGTTTCTCGATGAGGATGCGCCATTGTCCAAGACGTGGAGGAAGAGAAGGATGAAGGCATATGGTCGGAGGACTGATCTTAAGAAGGGGGTGGAATTCGATGTTGAGGAGGAGGTCATCGAGGGGATTGTGGTGAAACATTATAACTAAGTACTGAGTACTGAAGAACGGTGGAATGTATTATTATGACTCAATGGTGATACTGAGAATTTCATGGCTATGGACGTCGTTCGCACACGAGGTCTTGAATGTAAATTGCGAGGAAACTGGAGAAGGAGAGGAGAGCAGGTTTTATCGAGAGAAAAGTTCGAGTTATGAAGATAAAGCATTTGGAGTATTGACTCCGAACCGAGAAAGTCCATCTGTCTGATTTGTGTCTGATTCTGTCACTCTAGACGCTGGTTTATTCTTGGACACTCGGTCAATTCCGAGTTCTTCCATGGGTCTCCGAGACGTACATCGCTGCCTACTTACTACGACCTTCATCTTATGATCTTGTGTTCGCCTATACTCAACCCTGCGTCTTTTCTGAGACTTCGGATCCCAACACTTCAGTCACTTCATTCTCAACTTGCCTCCTAGAGAATCACTATTGAGCACGAGATCGTTTCGTCTTGGTGCTACTCATTCTCGGTGCATCGTTGCCTACTCCGGTCTTCTTCTCGTTTCCGTCTAATTATGACTATCACGTCTGTGCCCTCGTGCCCCCGCTGTAATGTCATTATCAATCATATCTCGCTCACTCATCCTCAATTACACCAATGATCTACGCTGTTTCCTTCCATGTGGTGCTGTCGTCACTTGTTCAGTTTGCTGTACTACCTCACTACATTAGACACCTCAGCAGCGGGACAAAAATGGACTCGATACTACGCCGAGGTACTCTCATAGAACTCATGACATAAGTCACGACGCCGTATCTATTTCAGATGGCTTATCTCGGTGTGAAGTTTTAATCCTTCTGTTCATAGCCCAGGTATTTATTATCTACTTGCATTGAACTCTCTATTATCTTTTCCGATAACCATCCAAGACATGCCCAGTTTAACCCTGCCGGAGTGTCCACACTACATCCCCCCTCCAGAAACAAAAGAGGACTGTAAGAGAGTGTCCAATAAATACAATACATTCGTATAACGTCTCCCCATATAGTGGAATTCGCGGACCTTCCCATCATCGATCTTTCCAAAGCGCATACACCCGAGGGACGTGCAGAGCTTTATCCGCAGCTTCGAGATGCACTACGCACCCATGGCTTTCTCTACGCTATCAATCATGGTCATACACAAGCGCAGGTGCGGCCCATTCTCGTAACTCATGCTCAAAGGTTTCTGAATCAATGTTGTAGCGTGACAGGGTCTTCGATGTAGCTGGCGTTCCTTTTGACAGCGTCTCTCCGGATGAAAAGAAGATGTACACCGCCGATGTCGAAAAAGTCGGGTACTACGCAGGTTATAAACCTCGTCAATTCTGGGTCCGTTGTTTCTACAAAGGACACCATGAGCACAGCTTATTACTCTTATTCAGAAAGTCGACACGGAGAATCAAATTCTCGATCAGATTGAGCATTATGCAAGTAGGTATTACAAATACTCGTGTGATGCGTGCTTCCTACCCCTCGGCAGTAAACCTCAATGTCACAAAGCGTCCCCACCCTACGGCCGTGCGCCCGTTCCTTCCAGAGCTCGATGATTTTGCTCGCCATAATCACTTCAACATTCTCCATCCGATCCTTCGGTCAGTTCTACCGCGAGTCCTTTCTCGATGTTTTAGCTTACGAGCACCATTATACAGCTTGATTGCGTTAAGCCTCGAGCTGCCCGAGGAGACTTTGGTGGAAAAACACAATTTTGATCGAACAGGAGAAACCTCTGGTTAGTCTTTCCTCTCATGTATGCAGTCCTATATCGATAAGCATATCCGCAGTCAGGTTCATGAAATAGTAAAAGCTCTTTTTTCGCAATCGTTCCTTAACTTACAAACTGTCGTCAAGCTACAGGCGCTCGAATGATGAAGAAGAGAAGTCAAAGAATGTCTGGTTGAAGGGACACACAGGTACACTTTATACCTCTTTGCTTCAAACTCGTCTCCTGAATCGCGCAGACATCGGCAGCATCACCATTCTATGGAGCCAGCCTATCGGAGGCCTGCAGATTATGGCTCCTGACGGCAAATGGAAATGGGTCCGACACATTGACAATGGTTTGGTACGCTCATAACAAACTACAGTGATACCTCGAACCTGATATTCCGCCAGGTCATCAATACAGGCGACATGATGACATTCCTCACAGGCGGATACTACAAGCCCACGATCCACCGTGTCATCCAGCCCCCCTCCGACCAACGCGCCTACGACCGTTTGGGTGCATACTATTTCGCGATGCCAGACAACGACGTTCGTTTGCTGCCGTGTGCTGAAAGTCCTGTGTTAAAGCGCGCTGGTATTGAGCGCCAGTGTCCTGATGATGATTCACCATCGTGCGAGACGTGGAGGAAGGGAAGGACAACGTCGTATGGGAGGACTGATCTCAAGAAGGGGGTAGAACGTGGTGTTGAGGAGGAGGTCATCGAGGGGATTGTGGTGAAGCATTATAACTGAGCACTGAAGAGCGGCCGAATGATTATGTATTAGTATGATTGGCTGACTTTTGTATGGTTTCGGTGTTCATGATTGCACGACCGTGTGGACGTCATTCGCACACGAGGTTCTGAGTCAAAGATAGCGGTATCCACTGCATTGTGCCTTCACAAAGAATTAATAGTACAGCTCTATCAGCTCCGAGCTAAACGTTTATCCTCGATCAGGTGTGGAGATCAACAGTGATCTTGTGACAGTACGCCCGTTTCCTTCCCGAATGCTGTACGAAGACTCCGTGCTATGGAGTGCTTGGCGCATGTCCGTGCAGCAGTAGCATAGAGTGAAATTAAAGCAGATATAACAACACATCACATACGCAACGTTCGATTGAAGCGCTGAAGCACCGCGTGACTGACAAAGAAGTGTTAATATCCTTTCGCGCACGAAAAATAGTGGTGCGTACGATGTTTGGTATATATTAAACCCATACAGCAAGTGCGGCACTTGCTGCGATTGGTACCACGATGGGAGCTGCAGATCCCGCCAGGGCGGAAGCCATGCTCACAACAGTGCCAACCATATAGAACCCAAAAGTCCTGCAAATATTCAATGAGACGAAAATCATTTGTAGCATAAAAGACCAGCCTACACGGTCCTTGGTGGGATCAACTGTCGGTCCAACTTCTATCTTATCAACTACGTTCATCATTATTGCTCTGAACTCTTGGCTGTGCAAGTACTACGCACAAAACACGTTAGGTCGTATGCAACGACGACAAATAAGATGGACATCACCTTATGAGAGTCACGGAAATTCCACAGATCGACGGTGTCAGTGTGAAGCACGTATAGACCATCCCACATCTTGCGGTTCTTGAACGTTGGGCATGACGCAAGCGCTTGCCAATATCCTGCAAGACATGAAATTTAGGTTATATCATGAACGCGAAACTGGGACAGACTTTTCTTTCCAACCCTGACATGGCGTAAATCACGATATAAGAGATAAGAATGAAGCAAGCAAGACTCACTCAATAAATGCCTCTATTTTGAGTCCAGGATGCACTCACTGAGCGATGGGGGTCATCATCGCGGCCTTGGGCGTAGAATGCTGACCGACGCAGTTTTCGGTTATTGAGATCAGGTAGGTGAGGGTCTCCCTATAGACTTCTTCGGCTACAATGTTACATTTCAGAGGCACGCATGGACTTGTCAGGGTGCCACATTAGAAATCGTAGTATAGGGAATACTAGATCCTGCAAATTGCTCTAGAGGTCGGATGCAGGTATCCTGCACCTGGTAGGCTGGAGTTCAAGGTCTTTACCGGAACAGGCAGACTGCTCAGACTGCTAATATATGACTTGGACGGTTTGGATGCCAGACGCAGATCCTTACTTCAGTTGAAATATTCCATTTTCCCGGAAAGGTCGACGACGATCCAGATTTTTTGTGCGGCTTGATGTATTCTACGGATGTAAGGTTGAGTTCACTCGTGATTGAGGTGAGAGTGCGATTATCATTGTTTCACCTTGTCCTTCGCTTGCACTGTACGCGCGGAAAGTGTCATTTGGGTCAAAAGGAATCTTCAAGTAGACTCGTGACCAGTCTGACGTACGTCACATGAGAGTGGGGAATTTTTGACGTAGTCAGACTGGTCGATCTCGGAGAAATTTGGCAGGCGAAGCACGGAGTTCGAATTTTAGCAGGTGCCGGTTGTGCCGAGTGTCGTCGTACATCTAGACATTGTGTGGCAGACACTATACTGTTTTGCTTTACCTTTGCTTCTCTCCCCCGACAAGATGGCTATCACAGTTACACCTTTAAAATTGCTTCAAAAAGATCATGTACGCTGAATATTTGAATATCACTCTCATCGCGTGAAATTTGCGCTTCTGGATTACAGGCCAAGGAATTTGAGGAGCATGGGGTTCGTTTGATCACAATCAATCATGACACTCCTCATGACAAGACACTCTGGAGTGTACGTGAGAGTTGCTGAGGCTGCGAGGGTCCACTGTCCATGCTAAAGGTTCAGGTGGCAGGGCATACTGCAGTGGGGGAGTATAATATGGAGCAAATGGTATCATTTGAAGTATCCTATTTCAATTTTAGTGATGCAGCGCAAAAGCGAGAAAGATGTGGTACTCTATGCAGCAGTGCACAAACGAAAGTTTCTGAGTGATTGATCATAGTTGACAGTAACTATGTAGCACTATTACTTCGACCGGCACCTGCTAAATTGAAACTCTGTGCTTCGCCTGCCAAATCTCTCCGAGATCGACCAGCCTGGCTATGCCACTCGACTTGTCTGTGGTTATATAAGCCAGGCTGGTCCCGAGCCTAATCTTCAAGTCGGTTCCAACTTGAAAATGTTCCTTGGCATACATATTATGTAAGGACACATTGAACTTTAATTTCAACTTCCGCAATCATACACATCCTTCGGCTCCTCAAGGCCTGTAACAAGACCCTTGAAAACCTTGTCGGCTGTAAATTTGCCTCTGACTTATTTGAGTGGTAGCAACAGCGGTGGTTAGAAACCTCAGGACAACTTTCTGGCACTCGCCAACGCCAACGATGATTCGTCTGTACGAAAGGCGTCACCTAAACTCAACCTAGTACAACTTGAACTTGGGTTGTTCATTAACCTCAGGTAGGGATCTGCACGGGTACGGGTAACCCGCGCGGGTCACGGGTACGGGTACTACTGGGGTATGGGTACGGGTCAGGATTCTAAGACCCGCGCTCTTACCCATACCCCAGCTATACCCGTGCCTTCCATAAACGGTAATTTTTTTGGCGTGAAGAACATTGACATTCACCAAGTCAGAAGTTCCCATTGACCATCCTTGGGCCATCTCTTAATCAAAAGGTGCGTTTTTACAATTATATATATCTATGTAGATCACTTACAAAACTAATCACTTCATAGTTGTTCTGTTTCCTTTTCCACATTCTCGGACACACAGTCTTTCATCTCCTCGGCGCACTCATCACATTTGATCCACAATGTCCTCTCTCCTCTGCTATCACCGCTTGCTATCAAATTTCCAACTCGTGATACCGCCAATTCCAACACCTCACTGTGATGCCCCTCCATCCTCTTCAACACAACACCTGTCTTCAACTTGAAGTCCCACAGGCGAAGTGTCTTGTGCTCTGAGCCTGCGCCCAACATTTGCAGAACATGAGTGTGCCGATCCTCGTTCAAGCAAGAGCCATGCTGATCGAAGTCGTCACCCAACGTTTGCAGTATGTGAGTGTGCCAATCCTTGTTCGAGCAAGAGCCATGCTGATACAAGTCGTTTCCCATCGTTTGCAGGATGTGAGTGTGTCGGTCCCGCGTCGTGCTCGAGCCATGCTGATCGAAGTTGTTGCCCAATGTTCGCAGTATGTGAATGTGCCGATCCTCGTTCAAGCAAGAGCCATGCTGATACAAGTCATTTCCCATCGTTCACAGGATGTGAGTGTGTCGGTCCCGCATCAAGCTCGAGCCAAGCTGATCCAAGTCGTTTCCTGCCATTCGCAGCTTGTGAGTGTGTTGGTCCTGCGCCGAGCTCGAGCCATGCTGATCCAAGTCGTTTCCCACCATTTGCAGGTTGTCAGTGTGTCGATCCCGCTTCGAGCTCAAGCCATGCTGATCCAAGTCGTTCCCTGCCGTTCACAATGTCTCAGTAAGTTCTTTTTTACAATCATTTTTTTTCATAGTTCTAACTTAATATTTATATGTACTACCTGCGGGTAAACCATGCACGGGTGCGGGTGAGGGTATGAGCTGGCCATACCCCCCAAAAACCCGCACCCTTCGTGCGGGTCTGGGTATACCTCAGGGTGCAGGTGCGGGTCAGGTCCCCAACACCCCGGGGTATACCCATGCGGATCCCTAACCTCAGGCTATGATCTCTTTGCTTGTCCAGAATACCTGTCAGCATCTGCACACATCTAGCTCTCAAGTCAAGCTTAAGTCTCACCAGTGCATGCGGTGGCGTGGGACCTCCACCACACCAAACTTCACTTGTTCGTCATCTTCGCTGCCCTCGTCTTTCTCCGGCGATTGAGGGTGCACTTTTAGCGCCTACGCTCTCATATGGCCACCAATATTCTCTGCAAAAGCCTGCCTTACCTCCGCCAATCTCATCCTACATTATGTTGCCGACACACTGTCACCGAGTTATTCAACATTAATGCTTCCGGCCTCAACCGCATCTCCCCCAGGTATGGAGGGACAGCCACCTTGTGTTACGCACTCAAATAGATCTGTTAGGCGGAGCCCTAAGAGGGGCGTCGTCCGCTAACGTTCGTGACGTAACCGGAAGGATCCGGTATAGCAAGTAAGACTGGCGACGGCGAGTCGGCAGTGATCACAGTACGCGCGTGTCACGTGACTTCTAGGACGGATGTCTCAGAAGTCGCTCAAGGTAAGGACAGTCTTGTCCGAATGATGAGGTCAATCGAGGTAGACTTAGTCGCGATGAGCAACTAAGAAAAAGATACTAGAGACTGAAGCCAAAGGGGCGTTCAGAGGGAAGTATGTTCCAGGGAAGATTGAGTAGATTCAAGTTAGGGAATCTAGTACAGGGTGACCGACTACTTATACTAAGTGGAGAGGGTTAAGGGCAAGGCTACTGCACAGTAGGTAAGGGTAAAGGGGAAACGAGAATGGTATAGGTGCGTTGGCAACAGAGCCGGATTAGTGATGGATGGTCGAATGTGGAATGAGACCGAGAAACGTTGGAACGGACCAACGGTAAGAATACAACGTGCGGGGATCCGCAGTCAGGAGGAACAGAAAGAGGAAAGCCACATTGGTGGCATGAGTCAGACCGAGTCATAGGTGCGGGACCACATTGGTGGTCGAATCAGGGGAGGAACGTGCGTGCACGTGCATAGAGGCGGCTGATGCGAGGGACGGGAACGGTCCCGAGGATCCGGTCAATGGAAAGTTGGTAAAGGAGGACGAGCCGGTAGATGGTGAGGGCGAGGATGAAGGGAAAATGATAGGGGGGCCACGTGACCGATGTTACTTGTAACACCTTGTGCACAATGTCAGGGATATTACTACATTTGGCCAAGCCGCTACTTAACAGCGCTGCATAATTACATGCTTACCTCCCTGCACAACTATGCCAATACCATCAGCCTTTGAGGTGCTGCAATTGCTGCATCATCAGCGCATCAGCTCCCTACTGGCTCACCTCCAACATTCACCACGACACAAAGGGCAGGGACAAGGGCGGGGGGCGGGGAAAGAGTGATGTACAGTTCAAGGTGGCGTGCTTGGTGTTGTAGATGGCACACTGAGTCATATCCGGGGCGGATGCTGGACAGTCAGACTCTCATAGTATCCTAGGATCAAAATATTCTGGGGAACGTAGTACTACTTACGACTACAAAGCTGTTGTTGTGTTTGTTGCTATTTTGGCCTGGTCAAGTAACGAGATAGTAGATATGTGGTGATTGTGATAGACTAATTTTGAAATATGGCTGTCAGCTTTATGCACATGCAGCTGCCTCAAGGTACACAGCTATGGTACCAATATTTATTAATATATTGCCCACTGCCCACTGATTCTAGATAAGGCTGGCTATGGGTTGGTTATTTGCTGGGTTCACACACTGCAATGATTATAGGGCTATACCAACACTTCTCCATGAGTCATGTTCAAGTTCAAGTTCACCGTGACCTTCCCCCATTGTTACAGGCATCCGTAACACCTACAGGAGCCCCAGCTCCGCCTACGCCTGCCCCCGCTCTGCTAGACTCCCTGTGCAGCGGTGCGCCGCCCGCGCCTAGAAAGACAGCGGTCTGGACCGCTATGACCCCGCCCCTGGCGCTATGACCCTGCCCCTGGCCTAGACAGCCTTGTACCTGATCCATGGAGGCTGTACACCTCATGGTCACTAGATCAGCGCATGTATACAGCATGTCGCTTCATGAAGATCCGGAGCGCCCTTGGTGTTACGCTGACCGTCGGTCGGCGTGTGCGAACTAGGATAGGTCTTCTCAGCGACGACTCGAGTGAGTCTACTGAAGCTGAGGGTGGGTCTGGCCTTGACGGAACGTCGAGGATTCCTCCGGCGATCTCAGTAAGACGGCGCTTGTCGAGATGCAGGGCTAGCGGATACGTGCTAAGTCATAAGGGGGCGACTTAGAAGTGCGGTCTCACACAAGGAAGCTGGTAAGGCTTAGATGAGCAAGTTCTGGGGATGAACCTAGTAGATTAAAGTAAAGTCTAAGTACAATAATCTGTGTCTACTTATAGGGAAGTACTACAAGTATTCTAGCTCAGTCTGTAATCAATAGTATATCGTAAATCTATGATAACAAGACATGAGGGTCAGATAAGATACATGAGGCTTAACCTCTGATCAAGCATGCTGCGCCAAGGGCAGCTGCGCATAGGTACAGGAGGCGCCAAGAGCGCTCCGGATCTTCATGAAGCGACATGCGGTATGCATGCACTTGATCTAGGGTGACCATGAGGCGTACAGCCTCCATGGATCAGGTACAAGGCCGTCTAGGCCAGGGGCGGGGTCACAGCGGTCCAGACCACTGTCTTTCTAGGCGCGGGCGGCGCACCGCCGCGCGGGGAGTCTAGCAGAGCGGGGGCAGGCGTAGGCAGAGCTGGGGCTCCTGTAGGTGTTACAGATGCCTGTAACACTTGGCGCCTCATGTACCTATGCGCAGTTGCACTTGGCGCTGCATGGTTGATCAGAGGTTAAGCCTCATGTATATTATCTGAACCTCATGTCTTGTTATCATAGATCTTAGATATACTATTGATTACAGACTGAGCTAGAATACTCATATGTAGCACATATAAGTAAACAGATTATAGTACTTAGACTTTACTTTAATCTACTAGGTTCATCCCCAGAACTTGTTCATCAAAGCCTTCTAGCTTCCTTGGATAAGACCGCACTTCTAAGTCGCCCTCATACGACTTAGCACGTATCCGCTAGCCCTGTATCTCGACGAGCGCCGCCTTACCGAGATCACCGGAGGAACCCTTGACATTCCGTCAAGCCGAGAACCACCCTCAGCTTCAGTAGACTCACTCGAGTCATCGCTGAGAAGACCTATCCTAGTTCGCACATGCCGACCAACGGTCAGCATAACACCCATGGATACTTCAAAGATAAGACAAAAAATCATTCACTTTCGAATCCTTGTTGTAGGAAGAGCGAATGCAGTACTAACACATCGACATCAGATTGATCTTGAAGTTATAATGGCATCCAGAGAGGTGAGTTGTGATTTTATCGATGACATGAACTGACGTGCTCTCAGCGCGGACTGCACGATATCGAGAACGAAATGGTGTTTCCAAGCAACTCGGGCTTTGTTTTTTATGATTCACGCGGGTTTGAGTCAGGTGGTGAATTGGAATTCATCAAGGTGAAGAAATTTATCACCAACCGTTCCAAGGAAACCAAAATAACAAATTGACTTCATGCTATATGGTAAGGTAGAGGATGGCAAATTTCGATGAACATCACGTGATATTCGTGACAAAAGGGTGACATTAAGCTATAAATCTATTAACAATTCAGAAACACCATTTCTTGAAAATCTGTTCCACCATTCGCTAGATAAATGAAAAATGAGAATTTTCGCGGTCGTAGAATTGAACTACTTGCAGAAATGAGAGAGTTAATAGTTAATTACAGTTTGTTCTGTGAACAATAGTAGAGATTCGGAAGTCAAAACTACTTATGACTCCGACAAATGCAACAGCTTGGCTCACAAAGGGCATCATGGCACCACGCAAACGTCTCCACAGCATATAGATCTCGAACTTACGGTCAAAGAAAGCTAGGGTCCAAAGCTCAGATAAGGAACATACCGAAGTTGTAAGTCAAATGATGAGAAATGAAGCATGAAGGCTTGATGTTTTTGACAGGCGCATGTTGGTGCACTACAAACAGATTGTCAGCAAGCTCAAAGAGTTCAGTGTGAGGAAGTTGAAGAGGAGGATGACCTTACCGCGATTCGAGGAGTGCGTTGGCGTGAAAAAGATCAGCCTGCTGGCCTTCTGGAAGAGATTGCTCCTGTGATGACACTGATGAGTAATGATGCCATTTGTGCTGCTGATGAGGAAGCTTTGCCATGTTTTGATGGGGATATCATGGATGCCGGGAGCAAGTTTGATGACGAAGATGAGGCAGGCCCTGACGACAGCATCGATCAGAATGAGGCAGGCGTTGATGACAGCATCAATCAGAACAAGGTGGACGTCGATGACAGCATCCATGCACCATGTGCACACAATTACTCCTTTGAGCTAAGGCAACCACCCACTATCCCTGAAGCTTGCTGTGTGCTTGAGGACTTACAGATACTCTTGAAACCTCTCCGCCGAAATGCACAACCTTTGGAACTTTCACCTGTCATGAGGGAGCGCCTAACGAACATGAAAAATTTATTATGGCTCTATACAGATATCCCCAGCAACCCAGATGACAAAACCACTAACCCTGTTGGTGGTCACTGGACCAATGCAGCTGATCGAGCTGCCCGAAATGCCGGTAAGGGGGCATACCTTTCACGATGCCTGCAAAGTTGGACGAAGGCCTATATTAATGATAGAGAGGCGCTACCTCACCGAAAAGTGCCGCAACAATACTCTCGCATCGACGATGAAGACCTTGCAGTAAAAATACAGCTGTATCTCCAGAGTGTCGGGAAGTTTGTCTGCGCACAGGATATTGTTGATTACCTCGATAGACCTGAGAATAATGTCCGTCTCGGCATGAAAAAGTCGATATCATTGAGAACAGCTCACCGTTGGATGTCACACATGGGTTATCGTTGGAAAAGAGAGCTGCAGGGACAATACACAGATGGACACGAGCGCGAGGACATTGTTCTCTACCGGAACAATGTTTTTCTGCCAGCGTGGACTCATTATCAGCGCTATATGCGAAAATGGAAGATCAAGGACATTACCATGGAGGATTTGTCGGAAGTTGAGTCTTCTGGGCACCGTACTGTCATGTGGTTCCACGACAAGTCAACATTCTATGCGAACGACTGGAGAAAATGTGTTGGGTCCATGACTCAGAAAGCGCCTTACCTCAACAAAAAGGTGAGGGGGCTTCTTTAATGATTGCTGACTTTGTGTCAGCCGATTATGGCTGGCTTCGATCCCGAGATGGAAAGGAGAGCGCTCGGGTCCTGTTCAAAGCTGGAAGGGTGCAAGATGGTTATTTTACAAACCAGGAGATTGTTGCACAGGCTGTGAAAGCTATGGATATCCTGCAAAAAGATTATCCAGATGAAAACCATGTGCTTGTCTTTGACAATGCAACGACACACCTCAAACATGCTGATGATGCTTTAGCTGCTCGAAAAATGCCGAAGAATCCCTCACAGACATTTGGACCATCTGCAAGTGTCAAAGACGCCAATGGGAAGCCAGTGCTGGGTCCAGATCGCAAACAAGTCAAGGAAAAGATCTGTATGGTAGACACAAAGTTACTGAATGGGGATCTGCAACCTCTCTATTTTGCAGAGGGACATGCAAAGGCTGGATGGTTCAAAGGCATGGCTCAGATTCTTCTTGAGCATGGGTATGTAAATGCCCCTCACCTTCGAATGGAATGCAAAGACTTCAAGTGCCCTCCTGACCGGATTGACTGTTGCTGCCAGCAGCTAATGTATACTCAACCAGATTTCGCTAACGTTGAATCGAATTTGGAGTCTGTGTGTTGTGCATGAGGGGTTGATGTAATTTTCCTGCTGAAATTTCACTGCGAGCTCAATTTTATTGAGCAGTGCTGGGGTTATGCGAAGCGGCTTTACCACATGAAAGACCGATCATTCTCAGAGGCTGACCTTGAACAAAATGTGCTCGATTCATTGAATGTGGTCCCACAATCATCCATGCAGCGGTAAGTTTTTTGATATTTCCAATCTCAGCAATGTAATTAATTTGGGTCTTAGCTTTTTCATCAGGTCTGGTAGATTTGTCAATGCTTACAAGAAGGGACTTGATGGAAAGCAGGCTGCATGGGCAATCAAAAGATATTGAGGACATCGTGTTCTTCCCAAGTCCATAATGCGGGAGTTAGAGCAATATCACTGAGCTACAATTTAGCATATTACAACTATGAATATACTTACCCAAATCCTCCAAGTCTGTGCCATTCGGCAGGACACTTATCCTCACAGCATCACATGTCAGTCACATCACGTGAGGTTGGTCGAAATATGCTGCCTTCTACCTTAATTGTAACTGATCAGTCGCAACATGGGCTATCTCACTGTTTCAACATAGGTATTGCATCCCAATGGACGAAGCACACAGGTCGTTCACTGCAGCTGAACAGAAATTCTTCTCTGAGCGCGACACAGGAACCAGTAAGCTTTCGCATCTTACCCTTGTCGACATTTGACTGATGCGCAGGATCACGATTCTCAGTTCCAGTGATTGTAGTGTTCACCAAGTTCGATGCCCTCTACGATGTGGCATATGCACAACTAAGAAAGGAAGGAAAATCTCGGAAAGATGCTCAAGAACTGGCCCCAAAACGCGCCGAAGAAACATTTCCAGATGGACCACAATTGAAGTTTATCCAGGACGTCCGATGGCCTCCAAAATGTTATGTATGCCTTCCCAGTAAGTTGGTTTATAGCTGAGTTGCGATACATGATGACCGTTGATCCATCAGATATGAATGAGGATAATGCAGATTGCAGGGTGCTGATCAAAAGTACAGCTGGTACTTTGGTTCATGAAGTGTTGGAGCAATTATTTGTCTCGACCCAGCAGACCAACGTGGAGATTTGCATGAGATATGCAATTAAGAGGTAACTACTCATAGTCTCATTCACCTGCCTCAGGTGTTAGCAACTGATATTGTCCAGAATGCTCCCATAACATCTCGACTCTGCAAAGAGGATAACGACTGGAGCCCACAAGATAGTAGGGACCTTGGGCACCTGGTTTCCTCATATTTGGGTAAGATTGTTAGAAAGCTCAAAGGTTGCTCTCATTGATGTCGAGTGTTTACTTTTAGCCAGTACATCTGTTAATCCTCGTTTGAGCTTGAGCTATGCTGATCCAAGTCATTGCCTACCGTTTGCAGGGAGTGAGTGTGTCAAGCCTCGTTTGAGTTCGAGCCATGCTGACGCAAGTCATTGCCCACTGTTCGCAGGGAGTGAGTCTGTCAATCATCGTTTGAGCTCACACCATGCTGATTGAAGCCGTTCACAGTATGTGAGTTTGTTAATCCTCATTCGAGCAAGAGCCATGCTGATCCAAGTTGTTGCCCACCATTCACAGGATGTGAGTGTGTTGATCCGCATTCGAGCTCATGCCATGCTGATCCAAGTCGTTGCCCACCGTTCACAGGATGTGAGTGTGTCGATTTTTGTTCAAACACGAGCCATGCTGATGCAAGTCATTGCCCACCTTTCGCAGGTGGTGAGTGTGTCGATCCTCATTTGCACTTGAGTCATGCTGATCCAAGTCGTTGCCCACCATTCGCAGGGAGTGAGTCTGTCAATCCTCATTCGGGCTCGAGCCATGCTGATCCAAGTCGTTGCCCACTGTTTGCAGAGAGTGAGTGTGTCGATCCTCATTTGCACTCGAGTCATGCTGATGCAAGTCGTTGCCCACCATTCGTAGCATGTGAGTGTGTCGATCCTCATTCTAGCTTGAGCCATGCTGATCCAAGTGGTTGCCCACTGTTCACAGGGAGTGAGTGTGTCGATCCCCGTTTGAGCTCGAGCCATGCTGATGCAAGTCATTGCCCACCGTTCACAGGGAGTGAGTGTGTTGATCCTCATTCAAGCAAGAGCCATGCTGATCCAAGTCATTGCCCACCATTCACAGGGAGTGAGTCTGTCAATCCTCATTCGGGCTCGAGCCATGCTGATGCAAGTCGTTGCCCACCGTTCGCAGAGAGTGAGTGTGTCGATCCTCGTTCGATCTCGAGCCATGCTGATCCAAGTCGTTGCCCACCATTCGCAGTATGTGAGTGTGTTGTCTTCATTTGAGCTCGAGTCATGCTGATCCAAGTCGTTGCCCACCATTCGCAGGATGTGAGTTTGTCGATCCTCATTCGAGCTTGAGTCATGCTGATTCAAGTCATTGCCCACCGTTCGCAGTATGTGAGTGTGTCGATTCTCGTTCGAACTCGAGCAATTCTGATCCAAGTCTTTGCCCATCGTTTGCAGGATGTGAGTGTGTCAATCCTCGTTCGAGCAAGAGCCATGCTGATCCAAGTCATTGCCCACCATTCACAGTTGGTGAGTGTGTCAATCCTCATTCAAGCTTGAGCCATGCTGATCCAAGTCGTTGCCCACCCATTCACAGGAAGTGAGTCTGTCGATTTTCATTTGAGCAAGAGCCATGCTGATCCAAGTGGTTGCCCACTGTTTGCAGTTGGTGAGTCTATTGATTTTTGTTTGAGCAAGAGCCATGCTGATGCAAGTCATTGCCTACCATTCGCAGGATGTGAGTTTTTCGATCCTCGTTCGAGCAAGAGCCATGCTGATGCAAGTCATTGCCCACCGTTCACAGGGAGTGAGTCCGTCAATCCTCATTCTAGCTCGAGCCATGCTAATCCAAGTCATTGCCCACCGTTCACAGAATGTGAGTCCATCGATCCTCATTTGAGCAAGAGCCATGCTGATGCAAGTTGTTGCCTACTGTTTGCAGAGAGTGAGTGTGTCGATCCTCGTCTGATCTCAAACCATGCTGATCCATCAATAGGACATTCTTCGCGATGATGATTGTGTGGTGATACAGTCCAAGTTGCTCTCTGTAGTATGTCCAATCGGTGGCAGATTGTACACATTTCTCATGCTGCGAATCTGCCAGGCCTCTAGTGGCTCATCATCCTTGGAGAACATTGTTTAGCTCATTTCTGGTGACTTTTGATGCTACGGTGTGATGAATTTGCTTATCGTTGATCGTTTAGCTGCTGTCATTGTCTTCAAACACTCTTTCTATATTTTCGACAAGCAGTGCTATCTTCAGGACAAGCAGAAGTTTGATCCCTCTTTCTATGTCACTCTGGAGCAGTACATACCATCTCCGCATGCAGGTGCCGTCAGGGAAAGTGTGAGAGTCACTGTCCACACATTCCATGGATACTCATCTACCCGGAAATTTAAGCCATTGTTTGGACGCTTCCAGATAGGAAAACAATCTGTTGGTGACTCCCAAAAGATGGAGTTGGTCGACACGATTGTTAAAATCGCTTTAGAGCATCGCCTGCATATGTTTAGATGTTATTTTGTGGCAGCAATTCCACTGATCTGTCGTGTTCAGCAAAAACTCAACAACAAGCACTGCAACACAACGCAGATGGTGTTCCGAAGTAGAGCTAACATGTCTTAGCAGTGGATGTAGGTTTCTTGGGCTGTCTGTTGAGGTAGTTTCAGGAGGTGGATATGTACAAAATGGTTGCATGATCACGAAATATAGCGCTTTCCCTGGTATGATGTACGGGTGTTTGAAGCATGTGAGTCGCCCTCAGCTGAGATGGTGGTGAGATCTACTGGACTTGATAATATTCTTGGTCCGATTCAAGTGCATTGAGGTCAGGTATGCTCTATACCATTCTGCTCCACAGCCTATCTCAATTTGTGCCGTTCTTTCTTAACAAAAGATCTGATTTCAGTGTTATATGATATAAAAACGCATGGAACATCCCTGTTGACATCGATGACACCAGTTGGTAGCTAAGACTAGCTATTGGATAGGTAATAGCCTTTGAAATCAAGCAGCAGGGACGCATTGAAAGTTTTCATTCTTTGAAAGACAGCGTGCAGGTTATCTATGGCTCTGGATAATAAGCCAAGATTGTGATCCCTGGGGCCTAAGGTTAGAAGTGCATCATTTTCATTTTCACTAAACAATAAGTTCATCGACCGTTTATTGTCATTTCAGCACTACATGATATAAAAATGCATGGAACATCCCTGTTAGGTCATATTTGGCCAACAAATATTCAATTGAAATTCACATTCGCATTCAATCATGTGACCTTACATTTGAACCTCGGAAGAATCCCAGATTGTGCCACTCTGCTTGTTGTCGTTTACTCCCACTATCATGCCACAATCTAACTCATCTATTACGGGATCAGGGCACTCCCTTCGGTCTAAAGGACCTGTTGAAGCCAACAACTCTGCCACCACACGTCACAAAAAAGCTGCCAAGTGGACTACAGATGAAGATACTGCTCTGATTGAATACCTTCGCCTCCACATTCCTGGTGATGGGATAAACTTCAAGAAGCAAGCTTGGCATGGTGCTGCCGCTCATCTCAAGGAGAGGTTTCCTGAGCAACTGGGTGGTGAGAAAACACAATCAAGCTGTCAAACTAGATGGTCAAAAGTGAGTCACTGTGGCACATGCGCTGCATGCCATCTGCCTGGCATGTAGCACTGTTTCTTTTCTATATTGATCTGACATCAATCACCATAGCTCAAAAGTTCTTATCACGCTGTTGTGGACATCAAGAATGCATCTGGGTTTGCGTGGAGCGATATAGATGGCGCAGGGATTACTTTGGAGTATGAATCTACATGGACAAACTTTCTCAAGGTGCGCAATGGCAGTGGATTGTACTAGTAGTACTCGACTAATATATTGTTTTAAAGAGCCATAAGAACACAGGCCCGTTCAAAAACACAGGATTCCCTCATTTCGATGCCATCCACCAGATGTTGCCAAGGAAGAGCAAGGGTGCTTGGGTCCACCGCAATAACCCCCGCCAGCCTGCTGGCACTGCATCTTCTGCTGTCCCTGCTGTAGCTCTTCCTGAGGCTAGTACTGTGCCACCGCAACCGCAACCACTTACCGCATTAAACCTCAGCCAGCTGACTGCGGCTGCCAATGAAATCAATTCTCTTCCATCTCACATCCAGTCTGCTAGCGGCTTGCCGCAAGACATTCCACCATCATCGTCCGCTGTCCCATCCACCTTTCTTGTGGCTCAGACTACTACTGGCTCGGGAGCTACGTCCTCGGTGCTCACAAGTATCAGTCGCCAAGATAAGTGCAAAGTTAGTGCG